GTAATGATTCGAAAACCACGTTTTTGTCCTCATAAGTTGGTGGCGGGGGGGGGGGGGGGTAAACACAGATATTTCCACCCAAAACTCAACTAGAAAATTGTAACAAAAACAATACTTTCGCCATATATTTACTATGTGTGGCACATTTTGTATTATATTATTTGTATTAGGCCTACAATGCTAGCAGCTATACATTTTTACAAGAACCTTCTCTTTTTAGAAAGACTGTCATAATGATATGCAAAGACGCTATTTCCTTTTGCCAATTTCCTTTCTTTCTGACTCTGATTATTAATACTTCTTGAGCACCTACTTAGCCTGGAAATCACAACTCTAATCTTTCACTGTATTTCACCTTATTCTCTCTATTTAATATTACCATTCGGATATTATTTTCCTTTTTGCCATAGTTTTGCAAAATTTAAATAACTAGTCTATGTTTAAATAATAATTGCGTTTTTGTATGATGAAGATTAACAATCATAAGATGGGACAAATGTTCAAAAAATATTATTTGGAAAAACAAATTCAGACATCGATATTCAGTACGTATCTTGGTTTACATTCTGAATCGTAAGTGTTTGCCAGTTGAGTAAAAATAGCAGAAATGCATGTTGATTCTGTCATTCTGTAGGTTTTTAACGTAGTTCAATTTAAAAAGAAGGGAAAATAATGCATTCAAAAATTAAAACGCCCTTTTCATAGGGTGGTTCTTAATTATTAATTCAGTACCTGGGGACCGAGCTTTAGCTCGGGGAAAATCATTCCCCCACTCTGCGATGCCAGCCTTTCCTTCACCATTTCCTACGTCATGGACCTGTTTCCTTCCCTTCTCATAGCATTTAAGTATTACAGATACATTAATCTAACTGCCACAAACGGTAACTGTCGTTTGGTAACGTATTAAACTGTTAAAGAAATCAACGCCAATGTTGTTCCTACATAAACGTTTTGAATAATACAAGGTAAGTTTTCCTAAGCTGTTTGAGTGTTCGCTGAACAACGCCGGATCGTACAATCCCTACCTAATTCTTCAAACCTTTGGACGGATTCAAGAAATGAAGACGTTGATCCTGCCATGAACTCCTCAAGATGCATCTTGTCTTGGTTTTTTAAGTCTCTAAAAATTACAGTTTGGTGTGCAATGCTGCAGGTAGATTACACACTGCATAATGGGATTAAATTCAGAACATATATGAATGGTCATACTGGTTCACGACGATTTGGATAGAACTAACCGGACGACGCTAAATTTTACCTTTAAAATCCTAAGAATAAGTTTTATAACAATACTTTTTAACCCAATAATAAAATTCGTCATTAGTTCTTTTGAGATAGCCTACTTTTACCTATTTAGGATAGCAATCGTTTTATAAACTGATAGAAACCAACATTCGTCATCGAGTATTTGTTTGTTATTGTGAGTTGTTTTTACGTGAATGCAGTTCTGACGTTTGGTTATCACTAAAGCTGACTAGTAGTAGTTTGTACTACATAAAGTAAACTTTTGTTTTATAACATTATTTATTGTTATGTTAACTTCTTTAACTTGTCTACTCGAAAGACTCCAAAAACTTTGAGCATAATATCAGTAATAAATATGATTTTTAGTATTTAATCCAATTTTACCATTCAGCTGAAAAACAAACTTGTTATTATACAGGAAGTAATGGAAGAGATAGGTACGCATATTAATACGAATTGTCTATTTGAGTTTACAATTTTCCCGAAATAGGAGCCAAGCAGTTTATTTTCAAAATCCACGAAAGAAACACATTAAAATCCTCAATCACATTAAATGGACCCCAGTAAAGTGGGTTATTAGATTATCACTTCGCCGGCGAAACTTTGACCGTTGCTGAAACTTCCTCCGAAAATGAGATCGTAACTTAAAGTACTCGACATGAGAAAGTTAAGTTTGTAATTCTTTGTAACACAATTTGCGAAAACTTGATGTTTAAGCTTGAATTCATGATCATCTAACATTTCATTAATTGTTATCCAATAGTTCTATATTTAATGTGTTCAATCAAAACAGACCTAAATTAATTTCTATTGACATTTCTTATTTTGTATATGCTACAAAAACAACTTTAAAATTATTTGTGGATGTGGATATTTGTTGATAAATCTGATATTGTATCTGCACGCCAAGAAAGACGTACTTTTTATACTGCATTTTTCATTGGTTTGCAATTATATATAAAGTTTGTCGATTTTAAAATTATTAGGCTATCAATAAAAAAAATAACTATCCATATTTTATTTATTTAAACTTGAATCGCAAAAATAATTTAATTAATTCTTTAATTAATTCATTGTTTTATTTTTTTTATTAAATGAAATGTGCTTTTTTGTACAGTTTGGAACATTACACATTGATACATACTTATGTGCACACAAAAACAATATTTTTGTTCATCATTTGGAGTAATGTTGATTATTTATTTTTATTTGTTTTACATTTCAACGAACATCTGCATTTTGATATTAGTTGTATTAAATATAGCATCAAAAAAATTGAAAATAAACAAGGTATTTAAAGCTATTTGAGAAAACCAGACGATTCTTGTAGTATTTGTTCTTATAAAAAAAATTTTGAGAGATTTTAAATATACATTTACGACATTTGCGCAACATGTATTTGTGGAAATAAAAAATATTTGTACGGTATTCCAGGTAGACAACATAAACAACTGGTTGACACATTAATTTATGTTTGTAAATAACTAGCAGAAAGTAACTCCTTGACAAAAGACTGAAAGACACTCGGATTTGAGAAGTAAATAATATTTGTTTTTTTTTATTAATTTTAATTCACATCAGCTGATCAAATAACGTAAATAATCATTTGAAGCGTAAATTACTTGCAGAATGATACAATAGATAGTTTTCATAAAAAAAAAATATTGAAAACGAGTGATTATTTGTATATTTGTCCGGGCAGTGGGTAAAAAAGGTTTAAAATTACACCTCATTTATGAAAGTTAGTGAAGAAATAAGGAAATTATGGTCTACTGACAAAAAACACTTAAGAAATGATCAAAAATATAGATAGATTTTAAACATAAACAACAAACCCCTGTATTCAACCATGAATGTAGCAGTTATTTAACCATCGAGATTAATGTTATGTACACTTGACGTGTGGGTCAAGGTATAAATTTGCCCAAACCCTTTGGAAAATTCGTTTAGAACATAATACATACTGCTTATTATCAATAAATGTATATATTGTTTATATTGTTATACATAGTTAGTGTGATATATATATTAAAATATATATATCAAAAAACTATAGTCGATAACGTTTAAATACCTCTGGTGTGTCACTGCATAGGCCTGTAATGGTGGGAAGGGGGTTTCTTTAAGTTATAAATCAGATAGACAGGTGTAAGGTAACAGTGTGGGAGACGAGTGAAGATGTCTCCATGACATTGATAGATGAGAAGATCGATCCACGACCGAACTCTTAGCTGATAACTCCGACAGAATGTGATTGCATTTTGGGGCTTTGTCACAAGGAAATTATCGTTGAAAAAATTCTTATCTGAAGTGAAGGAAATGCACTAATGGGCTCATTAATATGTATTTATTTTGTATGATAACACATATATTAATCAATATTAATTGAAATGCGCACTTGGCATATCAACGAATCACATGTTGTACCTACATTGCACAAACGGTAGTCTATTGTAATGTATATCAAAGAAATAGTTCATCATGTCCAATGTAGAACAGAGATTTTGGGGGAAGCAAGCTCGAGTGGTAGAGTACGGGACACCGGGCCTACGGGTCCCGGGTTCAAATCCTGCAAAATCACTAAAAGATTTTATCCAAGTGATAATGCCACAACCCCTAGGTCTAGCATATAGTAATGTGAAAAACAATCCCGGGTTTGAGCCAATCGTCCTAGGACAAGCAAGTAGGAGTTTGAGTTTGATATTAGGTACAATTGCTACAAGGTATTTGCCAGGTGATGTAAATGTGTACAGGTGAACAGCTGTGTACACCTGTAAGTACACCTGTGTTCCTACAACTCGTACTTCAGACCCCAGAGCGTATTTTAGAATTTGTTTGTTCTTTCAAATAGTTTTTGTACGTTTCTATTGAATTTATAGCAGTTGTTTATTTCAAGACTATGCTGTAGTGTGTTTGTATGGGTTTAATTGCATTGTTGTTAGTCTAGGCAATGACTACAAACCTTATTGGTCTAGGTCAGTTCTGAGGATAACACTGTTGTTTGTCATTGTCAGTAGTTTGGGGAGGCTAATTTTGTGTTTTAAATAATTGTGTTTTAATTACCGAGGGTCTTCTGTGTATGTTGACGTTTTGTATAAACATATTTTACTTTTCAAAAACGTAATTGCAATGCATAAGGATACATTTAGTTAATAAAACCATCATCAATATTATTGAGTTATAACTGGACCTGTTGACTTCAAATAGATAATCGATTATAGTGATTTAAAACTATATCTTAATAATGCTAGCTGGTCTCTTTTTTCTTAAATAGTTTTGGAAACCAGAAGTGGTACCGTAGGGCTACGTAGAATTGAATATTTTGCCTTATCTGTTTCTAACAGTTGTAAATAATATTTAGCCTGTTTGTATAGTTTAGTTTTGATTATTTAAATAGTCAATAAAATGGACACCTTTTATGGAGAATCCCCCCCACCCTTTCAAAGAAGGAATACATACTATTAACACAAAGGGAGTATTTTTAATCTATGTAAAAAGTTTGTTTAGGTGCACCCCTTTACTGTTTAAAATTAATATTGTACATGGTAAACTGTCAGATAGCTTCGCTGTTTCCCTACATACATACATAATCAACGTACATACTAACTCATAATACTACATGGGGAGTCCTGTTTTGGCTATCCTGTTTCGCATTATTACGTTTCGTGTTTTTTATCGACTTTGTTTGTAGACCACCATTTTTTGATGCGGGCTGGGCTGCCCGTCTGTCTCCTATCCTATCTGTCAGTCAGCAGAGATCAGAAAAATCAGATCGCCTAACCTAAACAAACTCTGTGCGTGTGTAGTGTTTTGGTGTTTATAAAAGAATTCTTTAATTTTATTACTCTTACTAAGTGTTATTATATTATACTGAGAACAATAAACTCATTTCACAATGGGGCGACGTTCAATAAATACGACAAAGAGCGGAAAGTATATGAACCCCACGGATCAAGCTCGTAAGTACTGTAGGTTACCGGGTAGCTTCACATCTCCGGGTTTTACTTATTTTACTATTTTTGTTACTAAAATCGACCTAAGGGCTAAGGCCAGGAGAAAAAAGGATAATGAATTATGAGAGCAATATCCTATTTATCTCAAAGCAACCGCTCTCCTTTGGCATATCTGCATAGTTGTTCATGTAACATTCGATGTCAGGAGACGCTCTTCACGAAATGGACACTGAGTAGGCCTAGGCTACCTTGAGTTTTATCACACACAAAACCTTAGTTGTAAAATCTGCCTCAGTTTGCTGATCTATTAATTTTCTTTTGACCTTAAGAGGGAACCTATAGTCCTAGGCCTATAATTTATATAGGCTACCTATCACCTGAAACTAGGCTAGATTTTTAACTCAAGACAATGGTTCGGCCGAGACAAAATCTAAATAAACTATGATCTTGGTATGTTATCATATTGTTTTAATTCTTGTCTGGTTCGGTAGGCCTAGGCTAAGTTACAGTTTCTTAACTGGGCTACCCGGGCTACGCTAGTACCAATTGAAACTGGGTCATTCCATATGAAATGAACCAAAAAAAATCCTTTTCAACCTGACCATCTTGGATTTCAATGAGATTTTAAATTCATGTAGTAGGCCTACCTACCTATTTTGAGTCCTGAATCCAAATAAACTTAACTTATATTTTAAAATATCTTTCATAGTTGGCTGCACTTTACTTTAGGTCCTACACTCTTTCGAATGAAAATATCGATCGATATATCGAATGAAACAATTGAATAATTGATATTTTCAATCTAATGAGTGTAAGACCTAAAGTAAAGTGCAGCCTCGTAGTTTTTACGATTGTAGGCCTAAATATTTCAAAATGGTAAAAATTTATGTTTTTTAGCATGCACGCAAATCTAAAATATTGTCTAGGATGAGTTATATTGGTCTATTGGTTAAAGAGGATTTAAATGCCTTTAATCTGATACCAAACTCAACCTACTTTGGTAAAAATTATTTTTTTACAATTTTTTACCCTTCCCGGACGGGCGAAATCTTAACATAGGCCTAGAACGGGAACAAATTATAGAAAAAAATAAAAATTAATTTTCCTTATTTGTATTTTGTTATACAAGTATAGCCTAGGTACATAAAAAAAACACAATAGAACACTTCATAACTGTCAAAATACTTTTTTACTCGTTTTTAATTATGCGGATATATCCGCCACCCGTCCTCAGATGAGTAGAAAAGCAGCGGATATATCCGCCACCCATCTTTATGACCATGACAACGTTAGGCAATAAATCAAGAACAATATGTAAACAAGTTAAATAAAGATAACGTAGAGTTGAGCGCGAAATCGAGGGGGGAGCGTAGGAGAAGTTTGATTGTGCGCGGGAAAGAGGTAGGCGCAGTCGAGAGGGGGGAGTGCGGGAGAGAGCGCAGCCATGGAATGAGCAGGGAAGTGGTGCCATGGTACCACAAAACGTCTGGTTACTGTTTAAGCACATCTGCCAGTCTGTCTGAAGAGAAGGCGGAAAATCAAAAACCATTTAAAGTGGATATATCCGCCACCCATCCTTTATTGCCAAAGACTTCTTAGGCGGATATATCCGTCACCCATCCGGGAAGGGTTAATATACCTCAAAATAGGCCTAGGCCTTACCGTATTTTTTAAGATAGTGTTTTTTGAAAAATTTGAAAATAATATAACTTAGGCCCTAACTTATGTTAGGTATAGAATGTAGGCCTAATCTAGTAAGTAGGCCTAGCCCCTACACTATAAAGATTTCAAAGTGGGATGATGATTGGATCAGCAGTTATGATAATAAAATACTTGACTATGGTTCACTGTTTCCAAGCATTTTGGGGCTTACATTAAATTTATACCCTAATTAAATAAGAGTTAATTAGGCCTAACCGATTAAAATTAAAAAGACCTGAATATAAGATAAACTTATTTGAATTTTATAAGTTATCTTTTGCTATAATATAAACTAAATCGGGCAAGTAAACAACATTATTCAAGTCAACAGTGTTAATTAAATTCGTAAAATCAGTTTGCTTTCACTATACAACTTAAATTGTTCAAGTGAGTACTTTATAAGTAAGAATCTATGAGCAGACAGTCCTCGTAACTAAATAATTATCATGGATATAATCTATGTAGGCTATCAATAATTTCTTAGGTTATAGCCGACTAAAGGATTTATAGATTGATCATTATCAGAGATAGGCTACAGACGGTGACAGGTGATGTGCACGCTCCAGCCAACGATCTGACCTTGGCTAACTTGTGGAGGGGATTTGGCGCGCGAAAGCATGACTCATCTGGTATTGTTCGATTCATAACGAAACAAAGAAAGTCCTACAAACATATTTATGATAACCCAACCTAACATAACCAGCCCGCTGTAAAAAGGTGGCCTCCAGATAATACCAAAGTACCAGTTAACTGTGACCTCTCACTGCAGACTTTTTCATAAAACTAAAATGCTGGCAAGGAGCTATTTCCCAGTGCCGTCAACGATTCAGAACTAAATTTACCAGGATTTCATGAGTATTACAGGAGTCAATCCTGGACTGTTTAGTAGGGCCTAGGCTACATGACATAAGGGTACGTGGAAGTCGTGACTACTAGGCCTACAGTAATCAGTGGGTAGGAAAGGGGTAACAAATACAAATAGTTATTTTGATACAGTTAGTTTGTTTTAATAATAGTTTATTTTTTATTACAGAAGATAAGAAATATTCACAGTTAAATATCACAGTACAGTAGGCCTAAACTTAAAAGTATTTTTAATTTTTAGGAAAAGAAGCAAGGAAGAAGGAATTAAAGAAGAATAAGAGGCAGCGGCAAATGGTACGAGCTGCAGTTCTCAAAGGAAAAGATCCATTGCAGTTAATAGCAGAGATGGAAAAGATTGATCAAATGGGTAAGTTTAGTTCTATTTCTATTTTATTGACTTTCTGTCACCGAGAAGTGAGGAACAGAGGATGGACTCATTGGTACTCAACTCCTTAAGTAGTAGCACTAGTTGCCGGTGTCAGGGGAAAATTCCAACGCCATCCCACATGCTCTCCTTTACCCCCTCCAACCTCAGATACTACAGCACTCACGTGTTAACATGATCATTCAAATGTTTTAAAGAAAAAGGAATGACTTTTTAAAATTGATCTAGCTCATGCATAAGTTTAAAGTAGTAGGCCTACAACATTTATTCAACACACACATTTTTCTATGGATTATTTAGCCTACATGTGTATGCCAACTTGAATATTTTATTATAGGACACCCTAAGTACATAGGCCTAAATAGTTCTTAGGGCCTAACTATTGTAACATAATCGTGAAAAAGTAAATAAAATCAAAACACGGGATGATAATGAAAACTAAGTACAACAGTAATAGATACAACGTACTAAGTTAAGTGGGTACCTCCAAGTAGTGAGGTACGTATACCGTTACACAGCCATCAGCTAAAATTGAACTAGAGCTGAAGGGGCACGGTCGTCCCATAAGATTGTATCTTCTGTTCTTTACTTCTCTGTGGTTTTGTCTATTTTGTTGATTGTGACTTTGTGGTTTAGTTAACTTAACTAGATAAATAAACCTACAAACATGGTAGCTAAGTGTTAGTGTAAGGCCCGGTTCACACGAGCGACTTAAATAGCTGACTAGGTAAGCCCGACTGGGTAGCGGACCGTAACAGTACCCACTTCACTGTCTCTATATCACTGTCACACATACCACTTGTTTTGTGACAGGCAGTCGAGGTTTCATAAAAAAAATCCAAAGTGAATGAAAATTAGGAACTTCTGCTGATTTGATTGGCGCAAAGATCCATTTGGTGGTCAACAACGGTTGTGAATGATTTTTTTTTTCAGAATATAATGTCATGCAGCCTTCCCCTCTGAATGAAAAGGTGTTGAAGGATAAGAGAAAGAAGTTGCGGGACACCTTTGATAGGGTTATGAAAATTTATGTAAGTACTACTTATTTTATACATAGCCTACGCAGGTTTTGACCTTCATTTGTTTAACACTTTCTACCACATGTATGCGATGCTGCTGTCATTGTCCAGGACCAAGGTATACATCTATCTATTATATTATTAAAGTGATACAATCAAATTTTATGTAAACGGTTAAGGCCATTTACCAGATAAAAATATAGGCATATGGCACATCAAAATGAAGCTTAAAGTGTGTAGATTTGCCGAAAAATACTTATATGGACGAATATCCTAAGGGCTCTGCCCCACAGGCTAATTTCCAATGGGCATACCTGGCATGCTTCCAATCAAAGTTTAAATGATTTAATTTGATTTAGTTAATGAAACAGCTGGTCAGTACAATGAGTGTTTGTTTATTTTCTCGAAAAAGATGTTTGTGGTGACGCTTTATGTAGATTGAGGAGGGTTATGTTTGGTTTTAAAGAAAGGTTGTATACGTTTTGTAAAGTATTGCTCAAAGTTTCATTTTATAATTTTGTAATTTATATAGTAAGCTATATGTAAGGAGGCTTGACCAAAATTTAAGAATTGAGGTAAAACATGTCATTAGAAGCATCAATATGAAGCTATTGATGCTATTGCTACACTAAGATATGTTGTCATATTGTTTGGATCTATTATCATTAAAAGTAGGGGTTTGAAAGTAAGTAGGTTTACACTTTTAAATCAGTTTATATTTTCAAACTAAATCATAGAGTTGCTGTTTTTTTAACACACATCAGCACCACTTTAATAGCTCTCTATGTCACATTTTTTTCCCCCGTTGCAAAGCACGGGTATAGCAGCTTGTTTAAATATAATACATCAAGACCAGGTGTCACTTGGTTCACAGTACACGCAAAGCACGGTGCATTGTTGCAGTGAACTAAAAAACAGGTTTGCTAACTATAATATGATGTCACTATCCATCATATCCACAGACTTCAAGATGCACATATCCGACAGACATCTCTGTAGACCACTGCAGAGAATTCACGGCCTTCAAATATGCGACGGCAGTCTATGGTTAGAAACCGGCTGTCGCATGTGCGTTGCTGGTCTAGGCTATATGAATGAAAAATGTTGTACTATTGAGTTAGGGAACGTGTTGAGGCCTAACTTATAGAGAGCAAATTGTAATAAATGGTCAAATGCTAAATAGTTTGAATAACTGGTGGGGAAGAAGATAGCCATTTGAGCTGTATGCCTATGTACTACACAAACCACTGTGACAAGGTTTTTTTTATTCCTAAAATACAGTTTCAAATAATCATAAAGTTTATGGATAATAACTTGTTTCTGGACTGTTATCAATCTTTGCCATTTCAAATGGATGTACGGTAAATAAAATCTGTATTATTGTTAGTATTTTAAGTTTAGTTTTTTTAGACTTTAAAACTATTTAAACTTGTACAATTAAAGATCTGTAACTAATGGTATTGTATTCTTACAGTTGGATAACTTGGTTGATTTCTGTAAAAATACTTCATTACACTACTAAATATAAAAATACTTCATTGGCACTAAAAAGTAACTTGTTTTTTAGCAGTAGGCCTAAGTCATGACAGAGAAAGTTTAATTTTCAATCTGGAACACCTGGAATCGACCTCTGGGCTTAATTTCATCGGTTGTTTTACACATGGATTCTGTTTCAGATCAAAGAAGACCCAGACAAGTGGGAAGAGCTAAAGAGATCAGAAGCAGAATATGAGAAACGAAGGTTTGCCTTGTCAACATACTGTGAGGCTGTTAGGCACGCTCAACAAGTACAGGTGATCAATTGCTCAGTGGTATTATCGAGAGTATGGGTTATATCCCTGTTTCTTCATTTTTTCTATCACTATGGACTCTTTGCTGTAATGTTCATTCTGTGCATTGTTTTGCTTGATGCAAGAAATTATGTAAAGCTTAGTGATGCTTTATACAGTAGAGCTTTGCTAATCCAACCTTTGCTTGTTGAACTTCTTGCTCACTCCGACTGTGCTATCGCCTATTGGTGACAGTGTTACTGCGGTAATATAGTGACTATTTGCCATAGTACTGTGGAGATCATCACCATCTCTGTCAATCGCAGCAAAAATCTTAATAATCCCCTAGATCAAGAAAACATCATCATCATCATATTCCTTGATCACGGAAACCTTATCATTGTTAGGGGTCTATCTGCAATTGTGACAAACTCCTTAACATATCCTACGGTAAAAGAAACATCATCACAGAAACTTTTGTTGTTATCTGCGATGATGGCAAACTCTATACACTCTGAGTTAACTAACTCTCTAGAGTTTTCCAGATTAGCATTTTACCATCAAGGCCTGCTCAAAAAAACAAGCAATTGAAGTTTTAGTTATGTTACTCCTGAGTCATATATAGTAGCCAAGAAGCTCAAAAGGCTAAGAATGAACTGTAAAAAATACAGCTACTCTTGGAAAACACAAACCTTATAATGTCAAATCAACACAATTTATTAGAAAGATAATGTTTTTGAAATTTTTGCTAGGTGGATGATATCCCTCTACCTATCAACGAGAGTATTGCCGCTTTGGCAGGTCTGACAGCAGCACAGATACCCCTCCCCTCTGATATGCCTCTTCCCCTCAACATACCTGTGCCTTCCATACTCCTGAACCAACTGAACCTGCCTCCCCCACCCCCTGGAATTCTGCGGAAGAGGTCTGCGTACAGGTCAGTCCTAAAGAGATTTGTGTTATACAGTAGAGCCTCGATTATCCAACCAAAATTGGCTGTAGCAAGGTCAGATAATGTTAGAAATAATAAAACCAATTTTCAACATGTCTAAAATTGTCAACCCCATTGAAATCTAAAGCCTGTTTTCCATTGTAACTATGGCCACGTACAAAATAGCAAGAAGGGTATAAAGACGATTACTGTAGCTGAAAATGTCAGGTAAAGTAATACTTGTCAATTCAGCCATAGGTCTCTGTATCACATCTATGACAAAAAGGAGTAGTACGGTAGTACCGAGAAAGATATGCAAGATATGATATGAAAACTGTATGAGAGAGTGGTATGCAGAGTGTGGAATAGCACAGTCCAGTGCAAAAATGTTCAAAACCTTTAGGGTACATACAAATGGGCAGTCATATAACACAGAACTAGGCCTAGCACTACATAGTACACAACAGTATGTAGGTTCAGATTACACAGAAAGTCAGATAGCCAGATAATTGAGATAACTGTGTTGTAGTATTAAAATATAGGCTACATATTCTAAATTGTTTTTTTTTTTTAAGGGAAAAAAGCAACTTATCTTTGGAATAATTATTGAGGAGAAAGGAAGGATACACAACTAACTCACCTGATTAAAGAGTCAATAGAACACATAGAAAGTTCACGTTAAAATAATATTTCGTTCCTTTCAGGGGCTTCTTCAGAAGTAGAAGGTAGAATGGCAGTTACAGTTCTTTGTGTATCCTCACATTCTCCTCAATACATATTGATTCTCTTCTACAATTCATAATTGTGATTCTTTCTCATCTTGAAGTTATCATTTTTTTGAAATTATTAAATGTTAATTTTATTTTTTTTTTTACAAAACTACATAAGCCTTATATACTAAGAATTTGATAACTAAATGGAATCAATGTGTACATCCTAGGGTATTTTTCATTTTACGCCCTTAAACAATGCTTATTATTACTCTTCCAGCCCCCCTCCTAGAGCCAGGAGCCCTCCTGGATGTCCCCCCGGCCCTCCACCAGACCTAGCCAGTGAGGACGATGGTGACAGCTCAGAAGACGAGAGGGAAGTCAGAGGTATGTAGCATATGATTAAATTATAAAAATCACTCCTATAAAGTTATATTGTAAAGTAACTGCTTTTGCTATTTGGGGTTTGTTTCTTGTAGCATGTTCATGTATGTTTATTTTATTTAAGGTTGTTAATGAAAACATAAGCCAATAAAGCCTATTATTTTATCTTAATAGTGGTGGCATTGTAGGTGAATCATGTAATTGTGGTGTTTCAGCTTCAGCTAAGATATATTTATAGAATTTAATGAAAGATTTAAAAAATAATTTCTTTTACTAAGTTACTTTTTGAGATTAAATATTGCTGAGATGTGAGATGTGAAAAATTAGATCTTTACTTTTGTACGATAAAATCATGTCTTATTTATTCTGTAAATTTGCAATAGGACCCCCCATTAAAATGACATGAATATTTCCTTTAATTAACACGTTTTCGACGTGGTATTGTTACTCAAAAAAATGAAATGAAAAAAAAATTAAATGAAAATGCTTGTTTATTGAGGCGAACTTAGGACCACATGGTCCTTTCTTACAGTTAACCTCTAAAAAACTAATAATAACAACAAAATAATAACAAAAAATACAATTAAGTTTGTAACATAGCTAGTAATAAAATAGCATAAATCTATTCATTTTCCCTAACATCCAGTCACACACACATACACCCTCTGCTGCATCTGCCTAACGCACGCCATCCCGCCAAGCCACGACCATCCGGTCAAGGTAATATTCTTTCAGTGCCACCATCAGTCGGGATCGGTTTTCTATAGATTTGATGGGCAGAGGTATGGAGTTCCATAGGCGGCAGGCTGTTACTAAAAATGATTTATTATAAACAGTTGTTCTATGATGAGGAATGCGAAGCGTGGACAAGCCAGAGCGGGTATCCCTTGCGCCTCTTCCATTCAAAAATTTAAAATTCTTTGCAAGATAATTTGGAATTCCAAGATTGATGACTGAATGAGTAATGGAAAGTATTCGTATTTTTCTGACGTCCTCTAATTTCAAAATTGATTCATTAATGTAATAGGGTGTGACATGGTCATCACGCCTAAGATTGAACAAGAATCGAACACAATAATTTTGTACACGTTGTAATTTTGTTGCCAAAGCCACAGTCATATCATTAACCACGGTGTTGCAGTAGTTGAAGTGTGGAAACACGAGTGATTTGACCAGTAAGAGTTTAATGTGAAAAGGTAGAAGTCGTTGCATCTTCTTCAGTGTGTGAACAGCGGCAAACACTCTTTTACAAGTGCTTACCACCGCGTCAGTCCAGTCCAATGTGCGGTTTAGAGTCAAACCTCAAGTTGAGTTACTCAAGGCTTTATGTAATTGTTCATACATGTATTTAGCTATAAAAAGTGTCCTTAAATGTATTTATTTTTATTTTAGCAAGAGACGCATCACTCGAGAGGGAAAAGTCAGAAAGGCGAAATATCCGATTTGCGGACAGCAGTGATGACAGTGAATCGGATGAACCGCCGGGAACCAGATCCGGTCCCAAACCAACTTTGGTTCAGCAGAAAATGCTGGCTCTGGCAGGCCAGAGTTTAGAGGTAAGTTACTGGGTGTATAGAAGCTGTAAAGTGATTTATATTATTTATTTACCTGCCAAGATGGCTTAGATCATTACATTCCGTTTCTTGTCATATCTAAACCATATATAAATTCAACCATTATTTTTTACCTAAACAGAGCTATTTGGTTAAGTATATTTCCATTAATTTTTCACAACAATGGTTTTATTTTACCTGTTCAAGCTGGATTTTTCCCCTTTACCTTTATTGTGTGACCACGGCAAAGTAAAGTCAAAACAAAACAAACCACAACCCAAGGTGATTTAAGTGCTGATTAACAACAACAATCCAAGGTGATTTAAGTGCTGATTAACAACAACAATCCAGGGTGATTTAAGTGCTGATCAATAACAATTTAAGCACCTATGTAAACACTTGTTCTAGATGGAGAGAGGCCAAAAGAATACTGATAAGGATGTGGATATGAGGATGAGTCAAAACCCTGAGCCTGTGCCAATGCCTGTACCAGCTCCAGGTATGTCTTGTTTCTATGTGTGAGGATTTAAAAAAAGGTTTTATCAATCTTGAGGATACCCTCATAATGAGGACAGAACAGTGTAGTGTTTTTAAGGGATTCTCTGATCCAGGAAATCGAACGTAGGTTCTGTAAAGGTTGCTCAACAGTAGGGGTGCCACACCTTTTTCCCTTGTAAATTTTTGAGAAAAGGCAATATTTCAGTGCATAAACTTTGGACCCCCTGCCCAAAAAGAAAAAACCCTCATCAAAAAAAAAGAGCTCATTGGTGGTTTTTAGCGAATTTCCCATATAGGAAATAAGCTATTACCGTAGTACTCGTGGTAAGACCTGGACGCGGGACCGATTTTTTTTTTTGTTTTGAGGTCCCTAGAGGCCAAAAACACCATCCGTTCAAATTCATATAAAAATAGGTTTTTCCCATTTTTGACCCAAAAAACATAAAATTTAGCAATTTCTTTCCAAACCATTTTGTAGAGCTTAAAAAAACAAATAATTTAGTATATTGAAGCGTTTTTATGCGCCTAATGGTTACGGAGAAAATTCAAAAAAATTGTAAATTTAAAATTCCCATGTTATTCTTATGGAGAATAAGTAAACTGTTGTAGTTTGCTTGTTTGTGAACATATTTTGATCAAATTTGGAAAATGTTTTTATTTCTTACTAACTATTCACATTTTACAAAAAAAAACAGTTTTATCCTCCCTGATGCAGCAAACCTAAGTACTTGTTAAACTAATTCTATTTAAATCAAGAATAAATGTTATATTTTTAAGTAGACATTTCAGTGTAAATCCAATCAGTCAAATGGAAATTCGCTTAGTCTGCAGGTTTGCTGCGGCGGGGGTATTTAGATTTTGTTGCTACATTTCCTCATACATAACATGATGGCTAACTAAAATTGTTTACGTGTATAGGGGGAAAAAACCTTGTCCAGACAATACACTACACATACTATAGGGCTACGTATATTTCTAATGACATCTATATAATATACAGGGTGTTTTTTTAAAAACTTGCATCTTTATTTATGTAAAAACCGCAATAGATAGAAATATGCAGTTTGCGGGAATCATCTATTGACGTAGGGGGACCAATTGTTTTGAATTCAACGTTACATTCACATTCCCCCCCTTTCCCCCCCTGCCCCCAACTTATTCTTTTTAAATAGCAAGGTACCCCTTGTGACATATCAAATAAAAGAGCATAAAAAAAGAAAATGTTTGATGAAAAAAAATTGAAAATCGGTTCATAAATTTGTGAGATATTCCCCCCCTCACCCCCCGGAACTTAATTTTTTTTTAATAGCAAAGTACCCCTTGTGACATATCAAATGAAAGAGTTAAAATCCATATTTTTTAGCCCCTGAGCTGATCTTGTGACTAAATCAATAAATAAGGTTACCTTCGTCAATCAGCTCATAGAAGTTGAAACATTGTTACGGCCGTTTCAGCATATCCATGCCATCATCAGACGTTCAGCCAAGTGGCGTCGTTAATATACAAAAACACAAACTGTCACACGCGACGTACACATACATAAACATAAACGGGGGTTTTTTACTAAACAGGCCTGTTGATTAGACATATCCGCACAAGAGCAAGTAGCTGACTGGAGTCATTCTTGCGGTGTCGTGTCAGTGGCGGCATTATCATTTGTACTTTGCCCTCTTGGTCTTGAATCCTTCCTCTGACTTAAAATACTATTGAAAATTACATGTGATTTGAATTGTAGTTTGTCATTTAAAATAAGTTCGCTATTGTCATTTTTTGTATGTGCTTTGTAAATTTCAAATTCTTCCAGGGTGTCCAATTTATTGCCTTTTGTACATGTGTGAAGGATTTCCAAGCCAGTGTTGAGGTCATTTAGGTCGTGATTATTGTCCATTAGATGTTGGGCAAATGTAGACTTTTGTTTGTCAGCTTTCGGTTTCGGATGATGCTCCTTATATCTAGTTTTAAAAGTGCGCCCCGTTTTTCCTACATAAACACTAGGACAACTAGCACATTTAATTCTGTATACCCCTGACCTGTCACCCTTATCAATAACCTTTCTCGTAACATTAAGTTTGTTCATAGTCTTGTTATTTGTCCTAAAAGTTAACTCTACACCGTGTCTTTTTAATTCTTTGGCCAATACATTCTGTAACGAATGGGAATATTCCACACATACATACTTCTTATCATGCTGAACTTCATTATTTTTATTCCTATTTTTACACTTCTGTTTGTTAATTAATCTGTCGATCATATTTGCTTCAAACCCATTAGCTGTTGCTATGTGCCTAATGATATTGAGTTCTTTCTGATAATTAGTGGGTGACATGGGGACGTTTAGCAGTCTATACACCATACTGTTGTATGCTGCAAACTTTTGTGAGGGTGGATGGTAAGAGGTGTTATGTATTGTCTGGTTTGAAGTAGTTGGCTTCCGGTATATGCTGAAATCTAGTCTATTGTCTATTTTCTCTATGGTCAAATCCAAAAAATTGATCTTATTTGATTCTTCTACTTCCATTGTAAATTTTAAATTAGGTGATATGGTATTAAGATAAGTGTGTAATAAATCCAGTTGTCTGTTATTTCCGTTGAACAAAAGAATTGTATCATCAACATATCTGTGGTACTGCAATATTTTTTGCTTTTGTTTGTTGTAGTCTGAAAATATAAATTCATTTTCTATATAATTTAAGTAAATATCGGCAAGAATACATGACAGCGGGGAACCCATTGCTAGGCCGTCAGACTGTGTGTAGTATTTTTCATTAAATATGAAATAATTCTGTTTCAAAACCTCTTTTAATAAAATCAACAACTCATCAATGGCTTCAGGTAACATATTTGAGCTCGTGGTTAGGTTATTTTTAACTATCTCTAGAGTTTGATCTACGGGGACATTAGTGAAAAGGTTGACAATATCGAATGAAACTAATAAATCTTGCCTCCTAACATTCAAACTTTTTGTTTTGTCTATAAAATCATACGTATTTTTCAAACTTTTGTCGTTATTAAGGGTTATTTCATTCTTTAAGATTTGTTCCAGTTTCTTAGAGAGAGTATAAGTTGGCGCCGAGGTATAGTCTACTAACGGTCTTATTGGTACGCCTTCCTTATGTACCTTAGGCAAACCTCTTAACACCGGTGCTTTAGGGTTAGTTACTGCAAGGCTCTTTATTTCTGCTTCTGTGAATAGTATTTTACAATTATTAACTAACTTTCTGATCTTTCTCTGAAAGACACTGGTTGGATCTTTTTTAATTTCTAAAATATTATTATTCACTATAAACTCGGTAACCTTATTGATATAATCGATTTTATACATGATGACAACAGTGTTGCCTTTATCGGCTTTACATAATAAGGCTTCATTACTTATTAATTTTTCTCTAATATTATTCAAAGCTGATGCATCTTTTCTGTGTAAATTAGCTAATTTTGATGTTCTGTTCTCTTTGTATTTCTTCTCAAGTTTGTATGAAGTTAAAACTCGAGCTAAATTACGTCCGTCTTCGTCTGGGATACTTTTTATAGCACATTCTGCATTTATTAATTCATCAAATTGGGCCCTTTTACCTGTTCTAGGGAGGTTATGTTTTAACCCTTTTTCTAATACGGATGTTTCATCGTTATCAAATATGATACTAGTGTTATTGATAACTCTAGGGTAAAACTCAAAATCAAACAAAACTGTAGTTTCCTTAGATTTTTGATCATTAACTAATCTAGTTAGTTTCTTTCTTTGGGTCAGTTTTTTAGACCTAATAACACTAGACACCATCTGTTCAACCTTATTGATAATACTATCTAATGCAATTTGATGGATGTTATTAGCCATTTCTAGATACTTATTTAACAACAAGGTGTTCAACATTTCTTTTTTACGGTATAGAAACTTAATTTCATTTCTGACCCATGCTCTCTCAGCACTTTCCACTGTTTGTCTTGCAGCATAGGACTTATTTCTAACCTTTATGTGTACATAGTTTGGTTTTAACCCATATCTAATACAATCCTTGTTAAACTTTATATTCTGTATGGTGTTGTGTAGTTTCAGTTTAATATTTTTGTATTGTATGGCTAATAAGGCCTGACTGGCCGATGAATTAAAATCCATATTTTTTAGCCCCTGAGCTGATCTTGTGACTAAATCAATAAATAAGGTTACCTTCGTCAATCAGCTCATAGAAGTTGAAACATTGTTACGGCCGTTTCAGCATATCCATGCCATCATCAGACGTTCAGCCAAGTGGCAACTTATACTCTCTCTAAGAAACTGGAACAAATCTTAAAGAATGAAATAACCCTTAATAACGACAAAAGTTTGAAAAATACGTATGATTTTATAGACAAAACAAAAAGTTTGAATGTTAGGAGGCAAGATTTATTAGTTTCATTCGATATTGTCAACCTTTTCACTAATGTCCCCGTAGATCAAACTCTAGAGATAGTTAAAAATAACCTAACCACGAGCTCAAATATGTTACCTGAAGCCATTGATGAGTTGTTGATTTTATTAAAAGAGGTTTTGAAACAGAATTATTTCATATTTAATGAAAAATACTACACACAGTCTGACGGCCTAGCAATGGGTTCCCCGCTGTCATGTATTCTTGCCGATATTTACTTAAATTATATAGAAAATGAATTTATATTTTCAGACTACAACAAACAAAAGCAAAAAATATTGCAGTACCACAGATATGTTGATGATACAATTCTTTTGTTCAACGGAAATAACAGACAACTGGATTTATTACACACTTATCTTAATACCATATCACCTAATTTAAAATTTACAATGGAAGTAGAAGAATCAAATAAGATCAATTTTTTGGATTTGACCATAGAGAAAATAGACAATAGACTAGATTTCAGCATATACCGGAAGCCAACTACTTCAAACCAGACAATACATAACACCTCTTACCATCCACCCTCACAAAAGTTTGCAGCATACAACAGTATGGTGTATAGACTGCTAAACGTCCCCATGTCACCCACTAATTATCAGAAAGAACTCAATATCATTAGGCACATAGCAACAGCTAATGGGTTTGAAGCAAATATGATCGACAGATTAATTAACAAACAGAAGTGTAAAAATAGGAATAAAAATAATGAAGTTCAGCATGATAAGAAGTATGTATGTGTGGAATATTCCCATTCGTTACAGAATGTATTGGCCAAAGAATTAAAAAGACACGGTGTAGAGTTAACTTTTAGGACAAATAACAAGACTATGAACAAACTTAATGTTACGAGAAAGGTTATTGATAAGGGTGACAGGTCAGGGGTATACAGAATTAAATGTGCTAGTTGTCCTAGTGTTTATGTAGGAAAAACGGGGCGCACTTTTAAAACTAGATATAAGGAGCATCATCCGAAACCGAAAGCTGACAAACAAAAGTCTACATTTGCCCAACATCTAATGGACAATAATCACGACCTAAATGACCTCAACACTGGCTTGGAAATCCTTCACACATGTACAAAAGGCAATAAATTGGACACCCTGGAAGAATTTGAAATTTACAAAGCACATACAAAAAATGACAATAGCGAACTTATTTTAAATGACAAACTACAATTCAAATCACATGTAATTTTCAATAGTATTTTAAGTCAGAGGAAGGATTCAAGACCAAGAGGGCAAAGTACAAATGATAATGCCGCCACTGACACGACACCGCAAGAATGACTCCAGTCAGCTACTTGCTCTTGTGCGGATATGTCTAATCAACAGGCCTGTTTAGTAAAAAACCCCCGTTTATGTTTATGTATGTGTACGTCGCGTGTGACAGTTTGTGTTTTTGTATATTAACGACGCCACTTGGCTGAACGTCTGATGATGGCATGGATATGCTGAAACGGCCGTAACAATGTTTCAACTTCTATGAGCTGATTGACGAAGGTAACCTTATTTATTGATTTAGAAATGAAAGAGCATGAAAAAAGAAAATTTTTGGTGAAAAAAAATTTTAAATCGGCTCATGAATTTGTGAGATAATCACCCCCCCTTTTCCCCTACCCATAACTTGTTTTTTAATAGCAAGGTACCCGCCCTTGTGACATATCAAATGAAAAATAAATTTCGCCAAAATTTTTCTTTTTTCATGCTCTTTCATTTGATATGTCACAAAGGGTACTTTGCTATTAAAAAAAAATTAAGTTCCGAGGGGGTGAGGGGGGGAATATCTCACAAATTTACGAACCGATTTTCAATTTTTTTTCATCAAACATTTTCTTTTTTTATGCTCTTTTATTTGATATGTCACAAGGGGTACCTTGCTATTAAAAAAAAATAAGTTGGGGGCAGGGGGGGAAAGGGGGGGAATGTGAATGTAACGTTGAATTCAAAACAATTGATCCCCCTACGTCAATAGATGATTCCCGCAAACTGCATATTTCTATCTATTGCGGTTTTTACATAAATAAAGATGCAAGTTTTTAAAAAAACACCCTGTATAACCTACATAATTTATTCCACAAATCATTTTCAAAATGAAACTCGGTAACAAAACATTAAACACGTAACTATACAGAACAATGAAAGAATAAACACTTAAAATCAAACTTGGGATGGACGGTTGTCGAAATTTTGAATCTCAATCTCCGAGACAAAATTTTATTTTGAGATTTTTTGAGACAAGATTATTAGATTATTAAAAAAAACTTAAAATGCCTGGAGAAAGTCAATGCAATACCCGCAATACAGAAGCGCGTTGTTGCGTTTCCTTTGCAAAAGCGTTCTTATTTAATAAATTCTTTATATTTAAATATTGCTTTAATTGTTTTATAATTTTTTTGTTTTCACATCGCAAATGATGACAAGTTTTGTTAACTTGAATGTAAGCAGTGTGAGACTTGTATTACTACTGTCACTCCAAGACTGAAAAATTGTTACTTGATACTTAACTAGTAAGACTGATGTTTTGGGCTGGTAAATTTGGTATTTTTTAAAGTTTTACTATTGTAATTTAATACTTAACTAACTAGTAAAACTGATGTTTCAGGCTGATACATTTTGTATTTTTCAAAGTTGAACTGTATATTAAGTCCAAACTGATATCACCATGTTTCTTATGTTTAAGAGTTATTTTTATTAAGGTTGTTGGCCTAATGAATATTTGTTTTTTTATACTGATATTTTTTAGTAAAATATTTTAAATAGTCTTGCCTAATACTGTATTATTATTTATTTATTTAACCAGCCATCTGTCATAAATCAGTAGGTAGGTATTATTAACAATGTTACATAATCAGGTTAAAATGTTGAACGTGCATTTACCATTATGTATGAGAAGGGGATCTCATCTCGATCTCGTCTCAAAATTTTATGAGAAATAAAAAATTGTGTTTCGTCTTGTCTCGAACTAAAAATCCAATCTCGTCCATCCCAAATCAAACAAAACAAACATATTCTATAAATTAGAGTGGTTTAAAAATCTTCTATCGAATAAAAACAAAACAATAAATGAATAAATATAGCTATAGTGTAAATGCATTTGTCATAGCTTCTTATGATTTGATACAACATAGGCCTAAGTAGACTTATGATATCAAGAACGCTTCAGAAACCTTTTGAAACAACGCATATTAAGCTATCACTTGTAGGCCTATAAGTGCTTTTAGGATGGGAATGGGTCCTCATATTTATTCTCAATTGACAACTGATCTCTTCTGTGATATAGGCTAAGTTTTACATGTATGTTACATAAGGTCTACTGTGATAATGTTCATGACTCTGTTACATTTTTTAGTTCATAGTTTTCTTTGACAATGTCTATTGCACAACTGTGTCTAATGACAATAAAGGATTCTTATTCTTATTCTTATTCAGTGTTGTACCTCTAGCCAGTCTAGCCAATCCTAAAGATTGTAATTTTCCAGTTGGAGCTCTTCCAATGGGAGTACCACCTCCGTTGATGTTCCGACCACCACCTCTTGGTATCCGTCTGCCCCCTGGGCCTCCCCCGGGTCGACCTACACTCCCACCAGGGCCGCCCCCAGGCAGACCTCCCACCCTTCCACCTGGGCCACCACCCGGACTGCCACCCAGACTCATGGGTATCCGTTTGCCACCCGGACCACCACCCGGTATGCCAGGCATGCGCCCCATGATGAGGCTGCCCTCTGGTATCCCCATGCCTATGGCTCCACCCCCGCTGGTGCCTCCTGCGTCTGCCGCCACACCCAACGTGGTCAGTGCTGGGCCTCAGCTGATCAACAGAGGGAAGGACGACAAAGGAGCCACAATAGAGGCCAAGGCACAGCTTAGGTGGGTGATTGCATTTAACACATTGACTAACTTTTCGTAGCTCATAATATTCTGTGAATGTCGATACGAGACTTAAAACTTAAGTAACCTAAGTTAAAATAATTTTATATGGACTAAAGGAGCTCTTATATACAGTTACATAACAAAAGTGTCGAAAAGGAAGATTCAATTCTGTTAAATTTCTTTGTATCCCTCTTATTACTTTAATACTTGACTTTTAATTGAAATGGCGAACATACGAAGGTTTAAGCCAAGTATGAATAGAGATGAGTGTAGGAGGAGTTGCTCGATCTTACAGTCTTGTTAGGCCTACTGACTAAGGCGCCAACAAGTTCCTTAGACTGAACTGTTAATTAATACAGCCAATGACAACTAAGGGACCTACAGTTTATAGTAGAATCCAAACCAAACTTTTGCCTTGTAATTTTCAAATTGGTCTAATTATCAGGATAGTACTGTGGTAGTCGTAGTACTAGTGCAGATGTTAATCCACACCAGGGAGTATCACATCCACAGATTATGCTTATACATATCCACATTGTGACCTCCAAGTAGCCAACGCCAATTTGTGTACAGTCGCCGATTAGTGATAACAGGGCGACATCACGGTCCTGTAAAAAAACCAAACCTAGTTGCCAAACCCTCGTATCCATTTAAGTTCTAAAGTTTGAAGCAATATTCTGTGTACATTCTCTGCATCACAAAAAAAAACTTTTTTACAAAGACAAGAGCAGTGAGTCTAAGAATATAATAATTTTTAATTAAGGGTCTAAAGCTTCAATTGAATATTTCTAGCAAGACATACTTACTTGTATATATATTTTGAATTTATTTAGGCCTAATTTGATAGTTCAAAAATCTTGTTTTACACAGTATCTTGGCAAAGATTTGTGGATGGAAGATAACAGTGGGATGTATTAGGAACTTGTAGCTTTGTTCCTAAAGGTCAGCCAGTTTTAGGACCACATATTGAAAATCCCAATGATTTAGGACAGTTGGCTTTTCTCTAAATACAAACCAACTACAGCAATATATGACTGTACTAATAATCTTTAATAAACTTAAGTCTGTTAGAAGGTAGATTGCTTTCACCACTTATAAAGTTTTTTTTTCTTTGTGTAGGAATTTGAGTGCGGATGTTACAAGATTTGTCCCAACTACTTTACGAGTCAAAAGAAACGAAGACCCAAAAGGAAAATCGCAAGCAATTGCAATGGATCACACAAAACCGGAAACAAAACCACCTGTATCAGCTTCCAAAGACGATGCTTACCTACAGTTCTTGCGAGAAATGGAGGGCTTGTTGTAATATACGTCTTATTTGTATCTGTAGGTATGCGTTATGTAATTTTTAATAAAAATGTGAAATCAAATTTGTTTCAAATTTCATTGAGTTTTTGGTAAATGGTTGGTGAACTATTTACTGCCGATATCAACTACTGAATTATAAACTACGCTCAAGGTCCCATCCTGTTACTGACATTTGTTTATACATTCTACAAAATTAAAAATTATTTCAACATTGTTTCCATGGTTTCTATGCAACAATCCTTACAAAGCTGCATGTGTCTCCATTACCTAGATAACAACTGACATTTTTATCTGATGTTTAATATGCCTTTAGAGTTTAGACATTAAAAATTGTTCTCCACCAACCCTCTTCATGCTACTACCAAAGGCTTCTACATAGTCAAAGCTTCTACTAAGGCCTTCGTGGTTTTCAAAGCAGTTGTTCTGATTTTTGAGTCCACACACATAAGCATACTTGGACAAAAACTGCCACTTTCGTCCATTACCTCACGTTGAATGCTAGTGACCAGAGGAGTAGAGTCTTTTCCAGGTACCAGGAACCCCCAAAATACGCCATGTGGTTGTAAGAAAAGTTATGATGTTATCTGCTTTTCTTCTTCAGCTAATTTTATTGTACAGCACAATCTACTGTTCTCTTCATACAGTCTAATGCCAATGCTACACCTGCACATTTATCATGTAGCATGTTGTTTATGGGGAAACTTTCACAGTGTTTAACAAGGGAAACTTTCTAGGATATAACAAGATGGTTCAGTATGCCTCACATTTAGCCAGCCAAAAGCACATTTCCTATGGATCCGAGGCCATACACCAGTCTAATTTTTGCATTAAAGTATGTTTTATTTACGTCAGGAACATCAATTTCCTTAGTATTAAAGACATTTTCAGGAAATCGTAGTAAGAACTAAACAGAAGCAATTTTGAGGTCTTAGTGGTTTTCAGAAGTAATTCTTAGGCCGTGATGCTTGAAAATGGTATTTATCACTTATCAGTCAGTGGTTAGCTCGGATGGTAGTAGTTTTCATTACTAGGACCGAAAAAGGCATTTTCTGGCACGCGGGCTCAAGTTTCAAGTGTCAGGCAAAGGCAAAGCCCAACACAGGGTAACTAAATAAATACACGTGCGAGGCGAAGCCGAGCATGTGAGAGTTATTTCCACATACGAGGCAAAGCCGAGGAAAGGAATAATGGAGCAAGTGTTGGAAAATGGCTTTCGGTACGAGTTATCAAGAACTAATAACTATGAGGTATGAAAATTAAATTAACAAAATTACTATAAGAAGCCTGGCATTCAGTATTATCCACCCTTTGTCTGGGTAGCCGAGTGGTTATAGTGCTCGCCTTTAAATCTGGAAGGTCGCTGTCGCTGGTTCGATTCCAAGCGAGATAGTTTCTAGACCCAGATGCCATTTGTCACTGGGCTATGAATTAATGATGCTTTCAAACAAAAAGGTCGACGTTAGGTATTAACAAGATCAGGTTTTGGACAGTTCCCTTTCAAAACATAAAAAATGCTACTGGCGTAACACACAAAATAAAAATATATCAATACAACCTGAATTACAAATAAACGAAGAATAAAATGGGGATGATGCACATTAAGTGCCTAGCAGAAAGCAAGAGATTTACAGTGATGCTAACTTAGAAAACGGCAAGGGAAAGTCGTTTATATATTTCATGCAGTACAGTTGTCGCAGCTAGTCTGGGCGCGCGGACCCTTGTGTACTAACCGTCCCCCACGCCAAAGCCATGAAGACAGCAGTGAGGCGCTGAACAACCCCAGAGAGCCGTGTGGGCCAGATGGAAATGAGCAATAAACAGTCCCCTCTACACCCCGCACCCTAGCGCGGCCGCGCGCCCAGACTAGCTGCAACTACTGTACGTTGTACCAGTGAGTATACACAGTCAGCATCAAAGTATGATAGAACATAAGGAACAAAAGAGTCATCTAGCATATAATCAGTACACTGCAGCATAAACAGCCATTTTTAATGCATGCGTTGTGGGTGTAAAGTGGTATTTTTACTCTCTAGGGAGTAAAAATTGTTTTACCTCCTAGCGAGTAAAATCAGAACCCCCCAAGAATTAAAAACATCTACACAACACACAGCAGTGATTGATCGATTTTTATTATGAGCTGTTGTCAACTCAGTTGTAAGTTTTGATTGTAAACAAAAACAATCGCATGTATCGATTGTTTAATCGATGGTAGAATATTGTTGATTAAAAATAGAAACTAACACAATCATAATAGAAAAAACGATTGAATCACTTACTAAACAGCTGCTTGTTTCCATAAGCAAATTAAATCGAAAACAAGTTAGAAGTAGTTTTGAGAGGTTACTTTAAATGAAAACTAGCTTATTTAGTTTTGTAACATTGTTTGTTCAAATAGTAGTGCATATGGCAAAAAATATAGCTAATTACACGGGCAAAATGTGTCTTTTCAACCCTTGCTCATTTTCTTGGGACGATAAAGAGTCACTCTAGGCCCTAGTAATGAAATATACTATTAGTTATTGTTTGTAGAACTTTGTCATGTTACAATATACTGTTAAAAAACTGTTGTGGCGACATAATTTGATTTTGCTGGAAGAATATATTTTGGCCTAGAGAAAAGATAAGGCATTGACAGTAAATTTTGACTTTTTTATCAGTTTTATTAACTAGGTACACAATTCTTATAGCACTTTGTATTTACAAAATTTCCCTACATTATAACTAACTATACAAAAAGAACAATTTAACCTCAAAACAAAACAATTCATCAAACATAAAAGTTATTTATCAAATAACACTATTTAAGACCAATCACTAAATAACAATAAAACTGTCGCAGCAAACCTGCAGACTAAGCGAATTTCCATTTGCCTGAATTGATATACAATTGAATCTATTTAAATAACATTAAGTTAAACAAGTACCTAGGTTTTCTGCTACAGGGAGGCTAATAAAGTGTGTTTTTTAAACGCTTCATAAAACCCCGTTCCCATCATCCGATTATGCTGGTTAACAAACTCATTCAAGTGTATCCCGCCTTACACCGTCAAACCAAATATAATCCAAAAATTTAGAAACACATATTTTATAAAAAATTTTTTGGTTTCCACAGTGTCAGAACATAAAATAAAACGACTGAAGCCAGCACAACTTAATTTTACGTTTGTTGTACTTGCTAATGTGCTGAGATGTCAGTTGTAATTATTAACGGTTGTGTTGAAATGTGAACAACTTCTCATGGAGTGTTGCGGTCACATTGATTATCTCTGGGGAACCCTAAGCCAAATTAGCCCTCTTCAATAATGTTCAAAAGTAGTCTCCAAAGCACAATACATTTTCCCTCACAAAAATTAGGCCTACTTGGAATAAATGTAAAATTTCATACATTTATACAATTTTGAACCAATAGTGTTTATCGCCTCTGGGGAGATAAAAATGAAAAAGTACATTAATCCCAGTTCTAGGTCTTACCGTGCCACCTACAGTAATAAGTACTTTCCCAAAAGGAATTTTGTTAAAATTAACAAATATTGTTTTTTGCATATAAAAAATAAAATAAATAAAAAAGTGGAAAATAATCAAAATGTTCAAATTTGGTCAAAATTAAAATGTATACATATAATATGTATACAATCCATCCTGCCTGGGATGGAGACGTTAATAGCTTATAGGTCTTGCCATGAGACCTACTGTAATAGCTTAAAAATAGGTATTACCATGAGACCTGGCCTCAGTTTTTGTTTTCCAAAATTGCATTTAATAAAAAACTGTCATTAGCAAATGCATAATTATTTAGAAAATACATCATAAATTTAAAACTTTTGCTTCAGAATCATGTTTCTGATCAATCAGCCAGACGGCGCTTCGCAGGTAGGTGTTTTACAGGGGGTTTCTTGATTTTCACAAAACAGGCGCCATTACAGAGGTTTTTGTGAGAGCCGACAAAGATTGTGATGAATAGAGAGTTGTCAGATCCATTGTCTGTGAGCATCTCTAACCAGGTGTCAACCTGCAACAATACATCACAATACAACAATATATACTATGAAAAATTTTTTACACTCATAACTGATTAGTTCAATGTCAGAGTTGTTTCTCGCTGGTTTGAACGTTTTAAGTTTTTTTTTTTTAGGTTAGTAAGGTTAATCAATTGAATACAATTTCATATGAAGTTTGTGTAACGTGCACCTATTCTAACCAATTCATCAGTCACATGACTAGGCCTACTGTGGCCTGGTATGCCTAATGTAGGCCTAGTATGCAGGCCTACTACTTTGGTACTTATCGTAAAAAATTGTCCAACTCAACCAACTTCATAATCAGTTTAACCGTAGTCTCAGATATTATTTAGTTGCTGTACGTTATCCCAATTACTCACCAATGCAATGTCGTCTTCCTCATTCAATACCATGTGGGCCATGGTGAAGTCATTCTTTTTACTCTCTTCCCCAGTTCTGATAATAATGTCGCTGTTACTGTCGGCTGTCACAGTCGTCACTAACTTTTTGTTTTCCTTGAGCGCAGCCGCAACAAACGTAGCGTACTCAGCTAGAATGTCATCTTGGCTAATTATAGTAGCTGAAAAAAACAAAAGTTTATGAGACACTTTGAAATGAAATGATACATAATAAACTTTGAGTAATTCATTTCGTTATTTATAATGTACTTTGATTTTTCTACTTTACAACAGAGTTGATTCGATTACTCAACTTATGAATAAGGATGTGTCGATTCTCAATACCATCGATAAGTGGAATACGAGAATCGATCGTCAAAAGTCGATTCCAATATCTGTCATGCCCGCGCGAGCGGAAAATTGAAAAACTACAACGTATCTGCGTTTGCAGGAGGCGATGATGATGTCTACACTGCAGCTGAATATGTTCATTATTTTGCCGCAATTTCGGACGATGATGTCTATACGGGCGCGGAAGATATTTATGATTTTGCCTCGATTGTGGACGACGACGATGACGTCTACAAGGCTGCAGGAGATTTTCACAATTTTTCCGCTATCATGGACGATGACGTTTCCGTGTCCGCAGGAGTCAATGATGATGTCTACATGGCCGCGGAAGATTTCCATGATTTTCCCTCGATTGCAGAAGACAATGATCACGTTTCCGTGACCACGAAAGCCAATGATGATGATGTCTACACGGCCCCGGAAGATGAGGAGTTTGCCGCGATCGCGGAAGATTTTTTTGCGATCGCGGACGACACCGTTTCCGTGACCGCAGGAGTTAATGATGATGTCTACACAGCTGCGGAAGATGTTCACGATTTTTCCGCGACCGCGAAAGACAGTGATGTAATTGAGGAAGATATTTTGGATTTTGCAGTTTTCCCAGGAGAAGAAGATCATATCTCCACGAATGCTGGTGATGATGACGATGTTACCTCGAGTTTGCTTGACTGAAAAATGTTAGGCTAGCACATCTCTATAATATCATTTTCTTTTTGATTCTTGTTGTTAGATCTTTATTTATTTTTAATATGGTAGTTATCTAATGTGTTAAGTAGGGTTTAAAATTAAATTTGCTAGTTGGAATGTACCATTGCTGCATTCATATTTTCTTTACTTGAAAAAAACCACATTACTTCAAAAATACTTAATGGTAGGACATAAAGACAGGGGTTGGTGTAGTATAACCAATCAATTCAGAAAATCTGGTTAAACAATTGAACAAAATTTGCATTCTTGGTATCAAGAATCGATTTTGCAGGTATCGTTATCGAGAATCGATAAATTTTGGGATCGACACACTACTTATGAACATACACTAATAATTAATTATAATTTCTTCAGCAAGATGAACTTTAACCATATTTATTATTTGTAATGCATGTCAAGATTTTGTTTGAATATTAATGCTACAATGTAACTGGGTTTATCCTGTTTTGCAGCATTGTAATAAAATAAATAAATAATATGAAATGTAAAGAGAGGCACTCATAATAGGGATCAAATAAACTAAGAACACTGTGTCTAACCTTTTCTATTGCTCATAGTGAAGTGTTTGAACAGACTTGTAGCCAATGTTGGACCAACTTCTACCTTGATGTCATCAAACTCATCTGCTCCATGCTCCAGGTGGCTGGAGTCGAGTGAAGTGTTTGTCGTCTTTGTTGTCGCATTATACTCCGGTAACCCAGATAACACTGCATCTCCGTACTCAATGCCTACACAATTTGACAGGGAAAGTTTGTTTTTAGTTTGAACTTCAATTCAACTATAAAAGGTATAAAATTACCTGAGTACTGCCAGAGTGATCCTGTTAGTCCTTATGGATTACGTGTTTCGAGGACTTAAGTCCTCATCATCAGATCTTGTACAAGAACATTTAAAACTGTCACTTTGAAAAGGTCGTCAAGAGTTTAAATACAAAACACGGACACATAATAAATAAAGACGTTTTACGAACAAATATGAGTAAGCCTACCGACAAAAACTTAGAATGTCCTAACGCACCGTTGTAGGTGAAGGTCATGACTGTGATGCGGAAGATGGTCGGGCGGTGGACTTTGTACTTCTCGGCTCCTGTGTCCAAAACACAAACCCAGCCAAAGCTGTATATCTTGTTATGTTTAAGCCACTTTCCCACATCAGGACAAATCAAAATCAAATTCTAGATCTCGTGACGGAATATATCAGCAAAATCTTTTAAAAATAATACGAGGGAGTAAGTTAATGTATGGAATAACTCACTCTTGGTCAGTTTGTGCTGCACCAGTTTGAGAGCAGCAATGCTGTCCTCTACTGAGTCGTGACCTAGAGCTCCCCTCTGTTGGATTGCTTCATTGAGAAACTCCTGAGTCAGCTTAGCCAACTTGCTCTTGTACCGTCTATTGCCCGTCAGGTTGAATATCACACTGGTGTCAATAATGTATGGGTGCATCATCTGGACACAATTTGAAAATAAATTTATTTCATAGCCTTCAAGCTGTTGTACATGAAAGGTTTATAACATTTAGCTACATAACATATCTTTAAATAACATACCTTCTATGGTTTTATTTTTAGTAGTGAACAAATTGTGTAACCTGTCCAAAAAATCAGGAAGGAAATAAAAATCCTATCCCATACAAAACTAAAAGTACAATTCCCATCATCCTAAGGCCGGAGCCACACTATCCTGTTTAGCGGGATGCGTTTTTGCCGCATTGAAGACCCTGTCACACCTTCCTGCTCTACCACAACATACTTTGAGTGAAGAGCGCCGAGCATCACATGCTGAGCACTGTTGATAGTGACAACAGTAGGGATAAACGCGCGGCACAACCGGATAGTGTGGCTGCTCTCATTTAGTTTTGCCTTTCGTCCGGTCGTCCCGCTATGCCGCAGCAGCATGCAGTGGATTCCGTCGACACACCGCAACAATGTGACCACTCCCATTAAAACCCATGCGTTTGAATCATCCTGCCAAACAGGTCCCGTTTAACCAGACCGACGAAACGGGATAGTGTGGCGCCGGCCTAAGGGTGAGCTGATGAAAACTGTTGATTTCAGAAGAATGTGTCAACTTTTAAACCAAGTCAAAGTAAGGATATTTTAATGTAATCTACTTTCACAGTCAGAAATCTAAGGTAGAAAGTAGAATTTAAAACTGTAAAAAGAGTGTGGTTCATTCAACTATTTTCTTTTTGAATAAAAAATGGCTGGTCCATATAAACATGATCTACCTTCAGAGCGTGCATATCACCATTGAGTGATTGCCCAACCAGGATGACGTCCGACGGGAACAGCTCCCTTAGATCCCTCTGGATGTCCTCCAGCCGGATTTTCACTCCTTTCAACATCTCTGGAGTAATCCCAGAGAACTCCGTCAGGTAGTTTATGATGGGGTTGCGAGGGAGACAGAACGACTCGTAGACTGTCTGCAACAATTGGCAACTGTCACACATTTAACAACAGCTTGTAGCCTGCAGACAATCCTACACTGTCCACAACAGAAACATAGGTTGTATATACTTTAACTATAACCTCACAAATTTTGTTTTCTAATTCTTCTTTACCTTTTTGTCCTAAAATGTGTATTTAATAAAGTGTATATGGTACTGTATATGTACCATAACACACCACAAACATTAGGAATAACTGTTTTATACTAGATTGTAAATAAATTGTTTTAAAAATAATGTTAACCTAAATATTATTGAAATGAAAAAAAACTTTTTCCTACAGTTACCTAACAATGTACATGTTCTCTCACTGATTTGAGAAAGCAAAGTGGCCAATTCGCTCATCAGTGAGACAATGTTAACATTGTCTCACTCTAATTACTTTGTCTCACTCCAGATTTGCAACGTGAAGGCATGAAATAGTGAGCGCGTAACATGCAGGCAACGTCGTATGCGCGCGAAATACGTTGGCAGCACTGGCTGTAAATCAGCTGGTCAGCTGTTGTACTGTTGTATTTGTCACTTCACATTAAATGTTATATTAAAAGATCACTTCTGTGTAAAAATAGGTTATGTTTCTTCACAAATTTATTTGTTTTATGGTAACTGTAGGAAAAGTATAATGTGCAACTCGAGTTCAAAGTACAATTGCCTCACTCGAGAAACCATTCCTCACTCGCCTACGGCTCGTGAGTAAGGATTTCTCTCGAGTGAGTCAATTGCTCCCTTTTCTCACTAGTTGCACAAATAACTAATTAAAATTATATTTGAATGAGACAATTTGAATTTGAGGTAAAGTTTTCCAAATGGTGTGTTTTCCTTTAACACATTTAAGAGGAAGAATTTGCCAACCCATTTCTAAAAAACCCAAACCCAAACCGAACCCATAAAAATGAAAACAAACTTATCACTAATTTCAAATTTGTTCAACCCCTACAATATTTGCATTAGAATTGTTGATGGTATAAAACTGAGTACAACATCAAGCTTTTAAAAGTACATACAGTTTATTTACCTTAAGAATTTGTTTAAAAATATATTCCTTATAATCAAAAACTACTCAAGGAAAATGTGGAGGTATTGTAGTGATGATTATGTAAGTTACTTAAATTCACTTAACACTGTAATGAGTCCATGATATTTTTGGATAATGCAACTTTATGACAAAATTCCGCAAACTCTTGTTGACTTCAAATAATTTACCTTGTGATTCTCATCCACCACCGAGACTCTCGTCAGTTCATTGCCAGCTTTTGTCAGACACATTTCACAGTCGAGCGCCCACATGGGGGAGTTAGCATGTACTTCTTTGTACTCATCTTTGGTCATAACATAATCTGGGTACCTGCAAAAGATGTGAGGTTTGATAAGTCTAATTGTTACTAGTGTTATGATATTCCACACATTATTGGATTATGCAAATATACTTCACTAAACAAGGTATTTTCATTGAAGTATTAAGTTACCTGTATTCCTGGACCGTGTAAACATAAATGAAAATCTAAAAGTAGTCTGATCATCAAATACAAATTAGATTGTCTCTGGCAAAGCATTTTTTGCTCTAAGAGTGGTTGTGAGTCACCAGGTTATTCTTATTTCATGTCCAGGACTTCCTATCTCATGGGGCAGCTCCCCCCATTGCCAAGACTATTTTTTTAGTATTTTTGTTTTTATTTTACAAAAATTTGCCAGACAAATTTTAGTTGATACCAGACCACTTTCTTCTTGCCGACTACATTTTATTCCGATGAAACTCTTGACATTTATGCAGTTTATATTTTAATTGTGCAGCTTTGTACACAAATTTTGAGCAATTTGTTTTAAAACATTACATTCATAAATATAACACCTGGCACAAGAAATATGATATTCGTTCAATCATATATTCAATTATCTATATATATAAAATCCAATGTATGTTTGTATGTTTGTATATTTGTATGTTTGTATATTTGTATGTTTGTCCTTTATGGACTCGAAAACCGCTCGACAGATTGTAATGAAACTTTCAGGCATTATTAAGCATTATTCAAGGATGGTTTGTGTGAAGTTTGGTGCAGACCCGTCAATAGGGCTCCGCCCCAGTGGCTCTCGAGTTTCCCATGTTAACCTTATGAGTACTCATATTTAAATGGAATTAACGAATCTTAACAGCTGGTGCAACTAAACAATTTGATTCTGTGATGTTCAATAGCATTAAAAAGTTAATAGGTTTACCAACAGGGTGCAGCACTATTATTTTTTTAAATTTATGACAACAGCTAATTTGCAACCAAAAGGTGAGTGAGCGTAGCGAACGAACTTCAACCTCGAGGCGAGTTAGCGTAGCGAACGAGCTAACCTGAAGGCAAGTGAGCGCAGCGAACGAGCTCCAACCTAAAGGTGAGTGAGCGTAGCGAACGAACTTCAACCAGGACGTGATTGAACCATGCGAACGAGCTCATCTTGAATATGAAAATGAACGAGCATGTGACATAAAACCACAATAGGACAGGACGACGTCTGTCGGGCCAGCTAGTATATCATATATTCTGTTCATAGAACAGCTCTGCATGAAGGATCGCCATGGTACCATGGGTAGGAAAATTTACAAAAACCTCCCCAGAACAAATCAAAGCTGAAGAAAATATTTTATCTTTTCAAAAGAAATTTAAGGCTATCTCATCCTCTTTTGTTATAAATAACTAGATGGTTTTATAAATCAATTTAGCACTAAATTTTATGAAGGCCTACTGATTTAAAAAAGTTAAATTTAGTATGTGGCATTATTTGTATTTACTGTACATGTCATATACGAATAATGCAATTGTTTTTGTAAACTTTGTATGAGGAATAAACATTTCATTTTATTTCATTATTACCATTGTTTATTCAGAGTATTATCACACTTAATTAATTATGAAGGCCATAACATACCATTAATGGACCAGCTGCAGCCCAATCTTTAAAATATCAATGTATTCCTTGAATTCATCTTTGGTTGTTTTATTTTATTTTAGGGATGGTCAAGTCTCGAAATTTCGGGAAATTTTCAATCTCGTTACACGAGACGAGATTACTTTTTGGCCGAGATTTTTATCGAGACAAGAATTAAAAAAAAAAAAATAAAAAAAAAAATTAAAAACGCCTGCAGAAAGTCAATGCAATACCCGCAATACAGGAGCGTGTTGTAGTTGCGTTTCCTTTTCGAAGGCGTTCTTATTTAATTAATTCTTTTAATGTAAATATTACTTTCATTATTTTAATAATACCGTATTACTTTAATAACATTTGAGAAGTTTTGTTAAGTGTAAGCAGTGTGAGGAATGTTTTATTACTATAAAAAAAGTCAAAACAAGTAACTATTTTATAAAAATTAATATTGCTTTTATTTTATGATTTATTTTATTTTATTTTAGGATAAGTTGAACTCTATCCTAACTGATATCACTATGTTTCCTAATCGTAGGCATTTTTAATAAGTTAGGCGTGATAAATAAAAAAATGTTATGCTGATGTTATTTAATGAAAGATTGTAAATATTCTTGCCTATTATCATTATTTTAGTATTTAAACAGTCATCTAACAATGTTACAAAATCAGGTAAAAATTTTGAACGTGCATTTCTCGTTGTGTATGAGAAGAGAAATCTCGTCTCGATGTCGTCTCGAAATTTTATGAGAAATAAAAAATCTCGTCTCGTCTCGTCTCGAACTAAAAATCCAATCTCGTCCATCCCTATTTTATTTTAATTTCAAAACTATTCTGATGTTTTTTTTTCCCTAAGTTTTATAACTCGATTCATATTTGCTATTTTTTTCATACAAAGGCACAAACTCTAAGACAAATAGATAATAGCACAACTATCATATTTACCTGTTTCCGAGCCCGTCGTGGCCGTAAGGTAGTGGATATCCTTCCTCTATCAATTGCCACACAGACAACAACAGATCTGTCCTTGGGAACCTATCTCCCTCAGGTACTTCAACTCTCTCCTCCACCAGCTCCGAGACAGTCTTGGGAGCGGAAGTGATGGAAAACGCACTCCTAAGGACCTTTATCACCCGATCCGTCTGTAAGGCTTCTGGGCAAATCTCTTTCCCAAATTCTATAAACAATGTAATTAGTATCACAAACTGACACATTTTTTATAACACTAACTGTACACCAAGATTTGATTGAATTAGATTTGGCTCGATGAAAAACACAATGTGATCAATGAAAAGCTTGGTTTCAACACAGAATAAGAAGAGAAGTGGGGTAGACTAAATATACTTTAGTATTTGAAACGTCAGCTGTCATTTTAGTTAGGGATTAGGAGGCCCCAGCAAAGCTAGTCAGTGGTTTTATTATTGCAATATTGCACTGCCCCCAACAATTTAATAAAATTATTAGATAATTTTATTGATTTTACATTTTAAAGGGTAGGCCTACAACTTAAAAAAATGATGAGCACAATTAATTACATGTATTATGTTGTTTTTATGTTACCTACTAAAATAGTTTGAAAACCCATTAAGGGTATTAACCTTAGTTTAATTTTAATAACAAATCATATTGATCATCATTCAGTTCCAGTTGTATTCAGATTGTTGTAATGTTGTAATGTGTGCTAATGTTTCCAACAAATTTGCATGTAACTGACCACCAACAGCGTTCAATACTAAGGAGACGACTTTGTTAAATTTTAAGTTGAGTTAAAAACGTAGAGTTACAACTAATGGCAACAAAATAAAGGAAACCAAATTTAAAATAAGGGAATAATTGAGAAATTATTAATTATTATTTACTAATTAATTAATTATTATTATAATGATAATTATTATTATTAAGTAAAAAAAATTGTGAAAAATAACTTAAATATTTTTTTGTGGACTTCTCTGCTACCCAGCTAAAACTTGAGATGAGATCCCTTTCTTCAAAATTAGATTCAACAATATCCTTTAATCCTTTAATTTTAATTTTATCCTTTAATTTTATCACTATTAAAATTGCTTAAAGATCATTAATGGATGTTGAATTACTGCTATACAATTATTTTTATTAAATAGAGTTTATTACACAATAAATCCAAAGCAAAAACAGTACCCGACTCTTTGATGCAGCAAAATTATTGTACAAGAGATCAACTTTTTAATACAAACATTAACCATCCCTATCAGTAAACATTTCATCTTTGGAAACTGTTTCAGTCAAGTCATGGGTAGCGGGCCTCCCGCCTACTACATCAATTTTATAAGTAAGAAAATCCTGATCGATGGGAATGGTAATAGTCTTGCCATTATCATAGGAGAACACTCACTCTTCTCCAGTTCCCTCTTCTGTTTCTTGGTGAGTGCGACGGCGCACAGCTCCTCTACGATGTTGGCGTTGTACAGGTATGGAGAGACCATCTCTGCCTTCACGTCCATCGTCTGTAGCGTGGGACACGACGACTCAGAGCTGAAGTAGTCGTACGTGGAGAGGCCTTCCACTACCAGAACCACAGTCTTGGTCAGGCTTTTGAACTTCTTCAACTCTATCCAGTTTCTGTGCGGGGGGAAATATTACTTTGGTTATCCTAGCGGGTTTCTACTACCTACTTAAATATTGGAATACACCATACTTTCAAAAAAGTCAATTTTAAATGCATTTGCAAATTTGTTTTTTTGCCGCTTTGATAAGAGTTACAGTACTTCTAATAACCTGGCAATAGCTGATAGGCATTGCAAAAAATAAACTTCAGTATACAAAATGAAAATGACCTCTCCAGTCTCCATGGTTAAAAATGGGGACAGATATAAACCAGAAGGCAGGAGACTGATTGGCAGGCCGATGGAGAGATAAAAGAGCCAAATGATAACAGAATTTGAAACACTAGAAACAACACCTGAAGTAGTCAAGGATAGAGAAGAATGGAGGGTCATAATTGGGAAGGCCAAAAACCTGCTTTAGTTTCAGTGGCCAAGGAGGTAAGATTATTGCTTACTAACATTAGATTTTTTGAGCTGGATGTAAAAAAAACTTTGGGTCAAAACTTAGAATTTGACTGACAAAAAAGCATCAGGTGTAAACATGTTAAGCTTCAGATGATGCAGCTTATGTTATATACCTGGAGCCCCTAGGAATGGGGCAATCCTCTCCAAGCTGCGAGAACATGAGGAAATGCTGAACATCACAAGGTAGAACGGGAGTTCGGGGACTTCCTTCAGCAAATCTGTCAAGGTCTGCCTCAGTCCCCACTCCTTTTAGCTTCACCATTGGAAATTCCTGGCAAACAGAAAAGAGAAAATTAGAAAAATTGTATCGAATGAAGTAAAATTGGTTGTGGACATTGTTACATGAACTTTTCTGTGTGGACATTATGATTTTTAAATTTTTAAAGGGCAAAAAATGAATAACATCACTAAATTTAAATTACTAAGCCATGAATTTCCATGATTAATATGCATGACTGGCCTAACTTACTCCCTCACTCACTCAACGACTCTCTATTTTTACTTAGCATTTTGATCCATTCATGGTAATTTCTACCAGTTTTATTAGTTTTCTGGGATCCCAAACTTTTCCATCTGTTGAAATACTCTTACCATAACAAAGGTTATCATAGGCCTTTGAAAAATCTATGAAAAGCCCATGTACTTCTTTATTATATTCCCAGTGCTTACTAATAACTTGTTTAAATATGTGGATTTGATCCATTGTAGATCTTCCTTTTACCAATCCCGACAGGTGATCTTCTATCATACTACTTGTGTACTCTTCTACTCTTATTGGCCAACTAACTTTCATTTAAGTAATTGTTCTGACATCTAAATTTTGTAATCACATAAGCATAGTCACTTAGTCATACTTCCCTTTTCTAAACACAAAAGTACTGAGCCCAACATTTAGTACCCTATTTGTATTAGGTTTTGTATATGAATAAGATATCCGATACTTTTAAATCGATTTAACGATAATTAATTACAACCGTGTTACTTACTACTTACCTTCAATAGTTTTTTCTTCTCTCTCAGCAGCTTTCTTAATTCAGCTAGTTCATCTACTTCATTTGTATCTTCTTCATTTTTATCAGCTGATCCCTGTGACAAATTTTGATTAAAGTTGCATTGTGCAAAATTAAGTACATGTAAGGTTTGTATTTTGTAACTAATGCTCAATTAGCTTTGGTTGACGTGCCAGAACCCTAAGTTTGCTCCCTCATATAACGCCAAACATTATCGTAAAAATTTAGTTTTAATTTGTCTTTAACCCAAATTCCTAAGCAATGGTGCAAAATTTATTAGTTTTTAAACGTTTAAAAATTATGGATTAATCTTACAGTTTTAGTTCAGACAAATGACGCAATCAAGAAGCGAAAAATCTTAACTACGGAAGAGGTTATTTAACTGTTAATGGAACATATGTACACTACATATGGTTAAAGTCTTAGAGTGTCTTTGAAATTTGCTTCTAGAGAAATATAGTAAAATATTTAAATATAACTAGATTAGGCATCCAGTTTTCAATAAAAAAAGAAAATTATAAAGTAGCCTTTAGTAACTTAAATGCAGCTAATGAGGTAATTTATACACTATAGGCCTACATTGTTGTAATGTCGCCTCATAACTTTTTGTATGGCATGGCCTATTACACAAAAAGTATAACTTAAGTTCACCACATCAAATGATAGCTTACTCAGTTCAAGTTAAAAAATAAAATAAAAGTAGGTTGTACCTACCTCATCTTCTTTCTTTTCATCACCATTTTCATCTTCTGAGTTGTAAGCAGGTACCAGATTTTTCGTTCTTACTTTTTTATCTTTTTTCTAGAAAGTAAAATAAATTACTGAATTTTTAACAATTGGAAAGTCAATAAAACTTTGTATTTTAAAAGTTAGCATAAAAAGTTACCGGTACCTTTTTGGTAAGACTTGCCTTGTTTTGGGGTCAAATTACTAACTTGATTTTATGTGTATATAGGCCTATTCATAATAGGCCTACTTATTGTATAATTTAGAGATACAAAACTCTTCAAATTTCCCAATGAAAACAATAAAATTGTTGTGTACAGCCTACCATGAAGTAATTAGAAGAAAGTATTTATTCAATAAATGTAGACCCTACTCACCTCTTTCATTTTTTTGGTTCTTTCCATGTCTTTTTTAAAACTCTCGAGTTCGTCGATAAAACTTGATGACCTTTTACCATTGCTTTTCTGGAATTCAATGTATAAAATTAGGCAAAACAGTTTATACAAATATAGGTAACACTAACAAAGGGCCAAATGTCAAAAACATTATATAAACATACCTATAGATAGTTGCAGAGTTAAAGTAGAATGAGTTCATCTGTAACTGTAAAGAAAAATACTAAAGTAGGGTTTCAGCTCTCTGGATTGGAACATCACGAAGAGAGAGAAAATTCGAAGGTCTACCTACATCTATTTACAGGCAGTTGTTACTGGAAAAAAAACATTAGGCCCTACTGTAATAGAGCTTCTTAAATTCACACTAAATAGAAAAACTATTTTTCCAATACCGAACGAGCAGCATTTAAACAATTTGATTTCTTCATTATTTACCTAGGCCTACATACTTCATGTGCTGTAGCCTACACAATTTTGTTTATAACCACCTGAACTTGTATGATGTTGAAGACTTAAATCTTAAATCTAAATAGTCCTTCTACTTTCTGAATTTTTGTATGTAGACCTACCACATTTTTTAGGTCATCGCTGTAATTAATTAGTATTTACATACCATGGTTTGATCATCTTTTGTTGGACTATCCAAATGCTTCCTCTTCTTTTTTGCTTTGGCAGCTGAGTCCAATGAAGGCCATTCTTCATAATCCACTTGGTCACAAGATTTTGAATGTTTACGTTTTTCTTCTGTTTCACTAACATCATTATGCTTGGATTTTCTTTTTTTCTTTTTGTGTGGACTTTTAGTTTTCTTACGGTCTTCATGGTCAACTATATCTTCCATCATTTCCCCTTCTTCATGTTCAAAATCTTGTTTTTGAGGTGTTTTTGCTTTGTTGAGGCTTTTCAAACTTTCTAAAGAATAATCACCAGAAGGACCATTGGGTAGAGATTGCACAACCTTTAAACATTAAGTTATGTTAAGATTGTCATCAAAGCTTTATTTAATGAAATGCACAGGTTCTTAAACGTTTTGATTCAATGAGTGCATGTATAGGACTTATTTTGGCAATCTATTTATAAATAGGGTTCAGTTATGAGAAGCCTAAATTATGAATTTCCCTAGATGGCAATGTGACCAATTATGTTGACTTTTTAGAAGGCCCTAGTAATTATTAAAAAGATCACTCCGTAATGAAAAGTTATTGAACTTTTTGGCTTGGATGGTTACATAAATTACAAAAAAGTTAGTGATAAAAAGTTTGGTCAAAAGAAGACATTCTTCGGCAACAGAATTAGATGGGTCTATCTTGTTAAGGCGTAATATTAAGGTGAGATTAGTTTTTTTAATTTTAAGGATCTAGGTCTACCCTATATTTAGTGAAAATGTAATCAAATTAAGTCTAAATCTGGCAAATGGAAATGGAAAGGTCTGCAGGTTTGATGGTGCAGGGGTATTTCACATAAAAGCTATTAACTTTTGTAGCTGCATTATAAATCTATGAATACCTCTGCCCGCTCCTTGTCATTCCGTTCAGTTATTTCTAACAGAGCTGCCAATTTCCTCTTCTTGTTCTCCATTCGTTTCAATTTCTTTGAAGGTTGCATCATCAGATCAGACTTGTAGATGTGATTTATTTTACATCTTCTTTAAACTTCCTAAACAATCAAAACCTTGCAAAGATTTTGTTGATTCAATTACTAGCCTACCTAAGTCTTAGTAAAATATTTTTTTAACACCCAACATTTAAAAATATGCTGCATCAATTGTTATAAAAACATTAAGCTTAAATTACTATGGTAAAGTGAACTGAAGACATCTTAGGTCTATTTTATCCACTGCAAGGACCCCGGTCACTTAAGAAGCAGCTGCATGTTTCATATAATTTAAGGGATTGTCAGTGCTGGCATTTGTATTCAGTTCAACAATGTGGGCTAATCCCTGCTTTTGATGCGGTTTGCATGTAACACGCTATGGGTCTAAGAGATATAGGCCTATGCGACTTAACTGTTCTAAACAACCTAAACTAACTTACTAGCCTATAACATTTCAAAATCCCATGTGATGGATGACGAGGAAGATAGGTCCCGAGGGCTTTGTGGGATCATGATAGCATCAAGCTAACAGTAAGTTAAGTCTTGAGGTTAGGTTGGATTAGGTAACTATCTTAGGCTAAAAGTTTAGGTTGTAATGAACCGACACAAGTTCATTTGTTTTGCTAAAAAGCCTAAGTTAGTGGTTAGAATCTCAGTACCGGTAATTTTATGTGGGTTTCATTCCCAGCACATACACAACACCAAAGAGCGGTTTCTTAAAAGCGTTTGATAACTTCCTCATGTACTTAGCCTATATATCTTAAGTTAATTCCTACAATAAAAAATGCAGGTGAGATAAATCACGATGGGCCTTTTTACTGCCGTGGTTATGTTTTTAGAATCAAGTGGCGATTCAAAAGCAACTCAACTCACTTTGTCAGAGCCTTACTCAGCAGGCTTGTAAGTTACTCTATAAAAGAACTGTTTGACAAGCCACTCGCCTTCCCCAAAAAAGTTACATCTGTCAGTTCTGTTTAGTTATATGTAAATAGTGTATTTGTATAACTTAGTAATCTATAATGACACAATCTATCCAAATTTTGTTGGTCAAGGATGAAGAGATCAAGTATTTCAAGTTTAAGTATAGGTTATTTGTGCATGTGTTCTTGTGTTCTACTGTCGATTACCTTTTGATTGAAGTGTGATGAATTTTTTTGCCAGTTAAATTTGCTCAAACCTGAATTTTATATGAGAGGTGGGTGTAAAAATGTTTCCAGCACAATAAGCCTACTAACTAATGGCGAGTGGTGACAGGCATGGGTACTGTAGTGTGCAAGCTTTTGTTATAAATATCAAGTTACTGTTTTAAGCTTACAATAGACCATTGATAACGTTTACTTATGAGAAGTTATATACAAAAATGTGTTTTAAACAATGCCTAGGCCTAAGTGACTAGTCCTAATTATAAAATACTGTGCCTTAAAATTTTTTTTGAAAGCTAAAGTAAATTAATAAATTGATCTATCATCTTACCGTTATTATATTCCTATCAGGATTGTATTACAGACCTTTAAAACCAATCAATCTTAGTTTAGTTTTGTAATTTTGAATTATAACCTACAAAATTGAAATCAATGTCCTCTATGGATAGTGCTGGGTTCACAACAGATCAACCGTATGATTCGGTTGTGTGTCGAAGAATATCGAACATGTTGTAAGTCGTATCTGTAATCGCATTGCATCGCATCGCACTCGAATAGTCGCATAAGCTAACATTGGGATTGGATTGATGTAGTGCTGTCGTCTGTCGTCGTGTCGTCTGCCGCTCAAATGGTGAAATAATTGATTGAGGTTATTCAGGTTAATGTTTTTATCTATGTTGAGGAATTTCAATAAACTTAAGTTTATTTAGTTATTCCCAATTTTATAATTAAGTGAGGTTGAAAACGCTTTGCCCTATTAGCGTCAAACTATTAATAGCTTAACTGAATCAGCAAAATAAAAATACCAAATCAATTGCGCAAATTATTATGTCTTTTAGAAAACCAATTTAGGCCTTTTACTTATGGTTTCTGAAGTTCAAATATAAAAAACCAAATTAAGTTAATACAAATAAAATTAGAAGTATGCTGGTCATATAAAAGAATGAAACTGACACAATAAGTTAAGACAGGTAAGTCATATAGTATGTTGGAAACAGAGCATATTTTAAGGGATTTCCACTGGGCAACAGAGGCGCCGGACTTACCGGGGTGGTATGGGATACCGGGGGTCGGAGGGTTCCCCCGGAAATTTTTCATAACTTAAATTAAAGTGAAAAGAACACATATTTCTACGCATCTTCTTATGAATTTTCGATTATACTTATTCGCTTGTAAATAGTCCATATAATCTCACTTAATTATGTACCGGTATCCTAGAATGTCATAACAGGCCAAGGCTCCCTTCACAACCTCTTGGGCCAAAATCATAGCTCAATAGCCTACTCTAAAATATTTACATACCGTACTTAATTTTTTTTTAATTCGGATACATTTCAAATGTGAATTATTAAAAAAATTATGCTGGCACCACCCATAGTCAACGGCCTACAAAATCTCAGCACTGTGTCACCCATTTAACATGTTATTTTATATACCCTGTGTTGGAATGTAAAATAAAATAAGGCCTAGATAAAAGCTTGCTTCAGCCTGAAACTTGAGTGTGTTGGTAAGGTAATATTTTAAAATTTAACAAATTTTACCTTCAAATTAACTCATAGAACACATCTTTTTAACAGGCCTTCTGGTGAGTGGTCAAAAAACAGTAACACTTTACTCTTTGCATGCATCTTTACTAATCAAATTAATTCAATACTTACCTACGAGAAATAATTATTTCAATAACTCTGGTTAAGTTAGTTATTTTGTTTCTGTATACAAATGTTGAAGCTTTATTTGTTTTAAATCTACTTATGGATTGTAGGCTACTGTAACTTAAAATTTACTAAAATACAGCCACAATTTTAACTAGAAATGTTGGCATTCATTCTTATAATCCCACCAAGATGCCTTAACGTATTAAGGTTAACTTAGACTATCTGGGTGAGGTTTTAATTACCACTGCGTTGCCGATGACCAGATGATTTGGATAGGGGTCCTCCAAACAATTGACCTTTAATGAACGACAAGATATCTTGTAATTATGTTTATCTTAATTATGTGAGTGTGAGTCAATTAAGCAAATTTGGTTAGATATTATGTTGAATTTGGATGCAAAGAAACGTAGCCTAAGTACAATAAAGGAAATGGGATCCACTTTTACAAGTAAGTTTTAAATAATTACTTACTGTATCAAGAAATGTTGTCGCTAACTTAAGCCGGGTTTTCCTAGGCGCGGAAGTGGAGAGCGGAGAGAGGAACGCGGAAAGCGGACTCCACTTGTCTTAGGTAATTTAATGTTAGGCCTACTGTTTTCCTAGAAACAGAGCGGAACACCATGTTAATCTCTTTTCCACTCTCCGCTCTCCGCTTCCGCGCCTAGGAAAACCCAGCTTTATGCCTAGACTGGTTATTAGGGCTTCAGGTAACTTCTTACTCTTTAAAATCAGAAGTGCATTTTAATTTGAACTATTAATTAACTGAATAAAATAAATTCTTGTATTTTTATTTTGGTAATCATACCTACTAGCATGCTACTACAGTAGCCCATACTCGCACCTATACTGACAAGTATTAGCGTCAGCTCTATTTATCAATCATAGGCCCTTCATAGCTATTATGCTATTATTTACATTTCCAGGTATAGGTGTTGAACTACAATGTATGTGGATTTATGGAAACTAGGCCTAAAGGTTAAGTACTGTGAATTAAGTTTAACTATTTTTTAACTATTTCAGATTTCTATTAACTCGCCCAAAGCTGTTGAAATCCTGGGAAAAGGCTGTCAAAAGAAAAAAATCTGAAAGAAACTGTTTAGTATTGATTCTTTGCAGTAAACATTTATCTGATGACACGACGATGAAGTTTAAGTTAGATAAGACTTGGAGCACTTGTCAAGCTCCTTAAAGATGACGCTGTACTCACCGATTATGTACAGCAGTTCAGAAAAAAAAAACCGCCGTGGACAACTTTTCTATGGATAGCCTGATATTGTTGAGGTAAGATAAGTTATGCTTTTACATCTTAATTACGTATTAAGTTAAGGTTTTATCTTAATAACATAATGATCATAATAAACCTAACCTAACTCTGCAAAGCGCTGTACAGTGACATTTCAGGGGGTTACAGAAAAAACTAAGGCCTAGGTTGTTTGACAGTAACTGACTGACCATTTGAAATGTAATCGTTGCCAGTGGTCGTGCCCCCGTCTGGTATTACTCCACCAGAGAAGCAGTCCATCTTTAAAATACCGGTACCTTAAAATGAAAGTCTTCTGTGCCTTAGAAAAATGTTAAGGTTGTTTTCATGTATTATAAGATCGTACGAATAGGCCTACTTAATTTTAGGAAAAAATAAGCTGGCATAGCAAAATTTCACAGTCACAGAAATCGGTGCTTATCAGCTAACTTATAACTTATGATAATATTTTGGCCTTAAAATTCAAGCAGACATATAACCCTATCAGAACTACAATACTGTACTACCTACTATAATATTCAGAAATAATTAGGCTGTTGTCCTATTAAACAATACAATTTAGCCTACAGTGTCAGCATTTTCAGGTGCTAAGTGTCTTTATCGTTATTCATGCAATGTTTTAAAGTCCTCAGATTATCCTAAATTTTTCCTTCCGGATCGATATCTGCCATATGAATCTGGTGACAACCTTACTTAACATAGGCCTAACTGCCCCAGTGAGAGTAATAGTGACAGTAACTTATTACTCTCACTGTGGCAGTTAATAGTGGCTGTAATTTTAATGAAATTCCTGTAAAAAAACAAAAACAATAAATTGTATTAGCTAATTTTGGTTGCACTTCCATATAAGGCCTGTGGCACAGCAACATGGAAGTATTTAGTGTAAAGTAATTTTGTTATCCAACGGAACTTTGAAACCTAACTATACCTGATTTAGTATTCTATTATTTTTACTTTTATTTCTTTTACCTGGTGTCAGCGCAAGTGTAGCCGTGATTTTTTAATTTTTACAGCTCATTTCAGTAGAAGCGAATTATTATCTCACACTCACAGTTTTGTCTAGTTTGGTTTAATCTTGATTAGTTTTTTGATTGAAACTGTTTACAAATCTGAATCAGTAAGGACCACATCTTACTTTTTTAATCGAGTAATGTTTTAAAAAAATCTATAAGGCCTTTTTTGTTTCAGACTCCAATTGGAACCCATGGAGATTAAGACGCCAAGACAAAGCACAGGGAAAATCAAACGGAAATCAGCCAAATCCACCACAGCAAACACACTCAAATTGATAGTTCAGTTTCTCCAATGAAAAAAACTCCAAATGTAATGACCTAAGACTTGGATAAAAGAAGAATCACTTTGTTTTTGTGAAATGTTTAAATACACTGTATTTGGACTAATTCATTTGTTTTATTTACTAAACCTCAACTTCCTCATCAATAAAATTTCTATAGTGCCTATTGGGGTTTCTAAATTAGTTAAGTTACTCTTGCAAAATATATTTTGTTTTATTTCACAGTCATTGTTTTTTAATATTTTAATTCTTGTAATTTGGAACTTTAAGTTATTCAAAATACTTAACTGTCCTTCAGCATTGGAATTGTGCAATGTCAATGTTTCACAATACTTATAATTGCCTAATGAAGATCTCAACTTATAGCGAAGACAGTCAAACGGTAACAGTGGTAAAATATAACATTTTTTAGGACTCTAACATGGATTTTTACATAGCCTAACTTGAAAGAATCTAAGTTTCAGAGGTTTACTGTTTTCATGCGTTTTGTTAATAGCCTAAACTTAATATAATATAAGCTATTTTGAAATTTATTTAATTACCCTTAAAATGGTGATTCTAATCTAGTAAGGAATAATTTCTGGTATTGTGTCTTTAAAAGTATGATATAACAAATTCAAGAATTTTATAAATGTAGCCTATTAGTGAGTGAATCAGCATCATAGCCTACAGTAATAGGCCATAAATTGCATTCATGGTTCACCTTAAAAGGTGTTCATGGTCATGCCTTAATAAAAACGAGAGGTCGTCCAGTGGTCGAAACTCGACCAAAAATATGTAATGTACTCACTTAACTATTTTCACCCCACACTGTAAATAAAACATGTGATTGGAGTTTCCTCCATTTGTTTTGATTTTCTGTTTATATTTCGTTGTTATTTCGTAACCAGCATAGCAACGCATAAGATCCATGTTAATTTTTTACAACTTTTAAACTTATTTTTTGTGCTTATCTTTGAGCCTATTTAAATTTATAAAGGGATTCTGCACACCTACAGGAAAATAGCTTTCCAACGGTATGCGTAGATTTTCCCTACGATGCACACGAGCTGAGAAAAAAGGTTTTAAAGAAACATGCTTGCCTATTAATATATGGGGGGCCACCAGTTGACCGACAAGATACTTGGTCGTCTTGCAACTAGACCGTCTTTTTAATTAAATAGATAAATACTGAAAACCAGTACGTCGACAAGTTATTTCATCGTCAGTCCAGTTGACCGGCCTGTAAATCTAAATTATTATATACGAGAAACCAACTTGTCGTCAATTCTCCCGACCGACTTACCACTTGCTCGTCTTTTAGGTGGGGATGTGTTGAGCGGCAGTGCCAGCGGCGCGCGCAGCTGTGGAGGGCACTGCAGGCGTACCAACTTCTGTATCTTGTAGCGGCGGTTTTCATTCCGACGATTTTCAGCTATCACAATGCAGCGGACTAGCGAGGTTCTTATTACGTGTAATTGTTTGTTTCTCAATCGATATTTTGTTATACACAGTACAGTGAATATAAATAGGCCTATATTAGTTTACTTCAATGAAATAAATGTTTTATTTAGCTAAATAAATAAAAATACGCCGATTGAACGAATAAAATTGTTACAGACAACAGGAAGTCCTTAATATGATCAAAAAAGTGTTTATCTTTATTAAAAAATTACTGAAATTTGTAAACTTACTGCTGGCGACAAGGGTGGTGCCATACATAGGTTTATCAATAAATAAGATAAACATGGAAAACCTTATGCAGCTATAAGTCAGGAAACATTTGTAGAAACATTAAAAAGCAATACCAATTTATTAAATATGTTAAAATATTTACAGGAAATGTTGATTACTGTATATACATCGTGAGTATCTCCAGAAGTTACACACTGGTGATCTTTGAGTTGACTCTTTTAAACTCATTGATTATTACTTTTGTTCGTTTTGAAATAAATTCTGTAATACTTTGAAATTGCTCGAATTCGAGCAACATGTACACGAGTTTGAATATTAAATTAACTAACATATTTATGTAATAGGAGGGTCAAATATTGTTAACAGTGGTGAGGTAACTACCGTTACATTTATTCAATTGAGAGATAAATACAAATTGATAATACCGGTTATTTAAAGCTTTGTTGTCTATTTTTCCCTCTCTTAAAAAAATAAAATAAAGAATGAATTTAGACTTTTGGTGACATTAGTTTGTACTATTTCTCCTTAAATGACACTGCTGTCTTGGTAAGCAATAGTTATCTCGGTAAACTATTTATTTGCTGAAGTGCACAGTGTGCTACTTAGCCTGAGAAACATATTTTGTTTTATGATTTTGTTGTAGGCCTATTGAAAACCTTGTCTAGAAGGAATTCCCATTGCCTGTGTTACCGGGGAGAAGTTTTTCTTAGTAAAGTCTGTAGACGTCTTCGGTTTTACACAGAAACATGTAATTATAATTGAAGAAGTACATGTTTTATCCTCTCACGTTGTTGCGTGGACAATACTATGGTGATTCAATTCTGTGTACTTCAATTGTCTAACTGGCCCTAACTGACGCATCCTTGTTTTTTTTTTTTTTTTTACTAAATAATGTAGTCTTTACTTCCGTGGATCTTTGCGTTTTATTGTGTAACTGTCCTCAAGTAAGTCTGTGTTCTCAGTAAGTACTTCAAATGCACGGCACTACTGTATATTCAGATTTTTTAATGAACTATCATAGATAAAAGGAGTATAGACATGTATGTATGACAGAGTATGTCTACTCCTTTTATCTATGGTACTATTTCCAAGTTCATCTGGACGACCCTGCAAATCGTTTCTAGTAAAAAAAATTTTATTTGGTTTATGTTTATGAACTTGTATGAGTGTTGTTAACTAAAGCTAAATTCACATCAAATTAATTAATTAAATTTATTTTAATAGTAGGCTATTTCTAATCAATTTCAGTTTTAAGAACATATAGTAAATAAATCCTTGTTGAAACGGCTGTACTATCCATGCAATTATTGTCAAACTATATGTTCAAAGATTCCTGGACGGCAATGTTATAATACTAGTTGGAGCAGAGGTACTGGATCTAGGGTTAATACAGTTTTGTGACGTGTACGGTATATCACTGCAGAAGTAGTTAGCTCAAGAATTATGACGCGGATGACAAAGATTGGTAGCTTTTGCTATAATTATAAAAAAAAACCAAGTACATAAAATCATTCACAGTTTTTTTTTCACAGTCTATTGAATAGCCTGCAGTTAAGTTCACTCTAATGAAGAATATAGACGTGGCCAGAGTTCCAAACGATTTAAGTAACAACTGTTTACATGAACTATCCTATATGTAAGTTTTTTTTTATAGTGTGCAATGTACTTATTGAATTTTCATTAGTAATATATCATGGCTATATCGTTTATGTAAAAGTATCAAAAGATAGTAAAACGAAAACGAAACAATCAACCAAGACCAGTGACCGAAACAAGTGTCGAGCTGGCGGCGCCGCGCCTACCTCGGGATTCCCCGAGGGCAATAATTCATCTTTGAAGTAACACCGGTAACACTGACTCACTGGCCGACACGGATACCCGCCTACCACCCCCTTTGTGTCGTCACCCTATGACCACCGGTCGGTCGGCCACCCATCCAAGGAAACTCTAGACATCGGCGGCTCTTTGTCGTTCGTTGACCAGCGTATTTTCTAGAGTTGAATGTATACCCTCACTCACACCAGGGAATAAGTAAACTGTAGTAGTTTTCTTGTTTATGAAAATATTTGCATTAAATTAGAAAAAAATCATTTATTTATTTATAAAATGTTATTATTTTACAAAAAAAAACACACTTTTACCCTCCCTGTTGCAGCAAACCTAAGTACTTGTTAAACTTATTCTATTTAAATATGGAATAACTGTGATATTTTCAAAAAGTCATTTTAGTGTAAATCCAATCAGGCAAATAGAAATTTGCTTAGTCTGCAGGTTTGTTGCGGTGGGGGTATATTTCGTCATAAACTCTTTTGCCACTTAAGAGTCTTCAATAGTAAAGTGGCAACTAAAACGCGACTCCTGCGACCCAATTCTGGCGGCGCTCTAGAACTACCCGAAGGCCTTTTCCGGTATTACGCGTGCCGCATCACACAAGTAGTTTTCCCGCGCCCCTATTCAAACGCTTGTAGGCGAAGAAAAAGAAAACGAGTTGACGACCGAAGCTAGGTCGACCCGATCGACTTCGACAGCTGTTTTACTGTCTCTCTCCCTCTCTCTCTCTGTCTTTGGATGTGTAGGGTTGGCGAGGGTTGTAAAATTGCTGAAAGTGAAAGGGACGTGGCTGGCGCTACGTTCCTAGTTTTTGGCCTCTTGATGCTAACACTGGGTCGGCTACTCGAGATCAAACAACAGCGTGTGTTTAGTACAAAATTGGGTCCACAGTCACATCTATACTTATTTAATACGCAAGCAGGATTTTTGTGACAATTATTCCTCCGAAACTACTGAACCGATTGACATGTTTTTGGTGTCATTGGAAAGAGCGTAACGTGAAGTTGTGCAGGAAACTTTCTTTTTAGGTAAATAATTAGAGAGTGAGGAACTGGGACCCTTTAAAGTTTCGTATTTCTCCATAAGATTAACACGGGAAACAAACATTGTTTTGAAACTCCAGCTGTTGTCAGGAATTAAATATTAATAATTAATTGCTCCCCATGGAAGCATGAGAGTTCTGTAGAGTTTGTAGCCTACACCTTATTGTCTACAAATTGGCTAAATAACTTAGGTACAGTACATTATAAAAGCTGACAGACTTTTTATTTTGACTTAAATTGTAAGCTTACCATTTCCCGTCCATGGGCAGTTTGATAGTTAAAAAATAACCCTTTAAACTG